ATTTTAATGTATTGGGAGCCTTTGGTTTAGCTTCGATGTCTCAAATATGTATGTCAAACATCAGGAAATCGGCCAGAGGAGTCATCAAGTTATATATAAAGAATTGCATGTATCATAACCTCAGGAGATAAACTTTCTGACAATCTCGTATTATAATTTATATCAAAATAAAGGAATAGCTTTAATGTTATATTTTTCATCAGTAGTAGATTTTATCCCCTCGGACCACTATATTCAACAAACTTTAAATCCTGTTTTTTATATGCATTAAACATATGGAGATAACGATCAGTATTCAAGATCAGAAGTCCATAAAAAAAATACAGAACGGGAGCAAACACGAACCACCAAAACATCGGAGATGGGATCAGGTGCCATGGAGGATTGAACAGCCCCTGCCGACCGTTCACACCCGACGTGAGCTCCTTGTCATGAACGGGAAATAGCGGAAATATCCGTCGTCAATTCAGTTTATAAATAAAGGAATAACAATGAGTACATGTATGAATCAAAGTACTAAAATTACTGAAAAGCGGTTAGCATGCTTTCGTCGAAAATGTACAGTGTACAATAACAAAAAATGCATTGAATGATGCTATTAAAGTAGGCATGCATACCTTTTTCCAGTGTCATCAGCGAAGAAGCAGACACACTGAATTTTGTAGTACTTAACTAAATGATATAACCAATAACATCCCAGACTGATGTCACAAATGTTTGTTTCAAAATATCAACCTGAGATTTTTAGTTTGAAAGACAGGAAGTTCAATTTCAAAATTTTCTCCCTCCCCTCATTGTCTCCATTGGTGGCGTCCAAGAGTGCTCAGAACGAAAAAGAAATTATGTTGATGTTGCAAATTTAATTGGCTTTCATGCTCTATTGATTCTGAAATTAGGTAACTGAAAAGGCTACTATAGCAAACAACTCAAACAGAAAATAAAATGATAATTCAAATTCTTTAGATTAATTGATTTGGAGTACTGTACATAGATCTTTAGCTGGCTAGTCTGGGAAAAACGGATGGACGAGCAGAGAATTAATTAATTTCAGAGAGCTTCAGTTTCGTAGGCTCACTTCTGGTCAGCAGGTGTGACCTGTCATTGGGGATGCTTACTTCTCCTAGGCACCAGAACTTTCAAGGATCCGTTTTTCTTTTGAGATCGATCACTCTTCATTCTGTATTTTGATACAGATACCGAGTACATCTGTTTATTAATATCATGAACTATTTCTCTCAAGGAAGAAAGACAAGTAAACATGAATAATAAAGTTTTAAGAAATGTACATTATTGACTTTTCATACAATTAAATGTTCGAATAAATAAATGGTATATGACAATTATTTGAAAAAGAGTCTTGCACGATATGTATAAACGATCATATACTGAGTATTTGGCAAATATTTTTCATGAAATATTGTTAAAAAAAAAAAAAAAAAAAAAAAAAAAAACATGTGAAATGAAAGTTGTTGTTTAATCCATCAATACTAGTATTTTAAAAATTCAAAGGTTCACTAAAAGTCAGTGTATAACAAACAATTTAATTGTCCATTGCAAGAATTACCTAGGTATCATTGTCACTTTCTTCAATATGTCGCATAAGCAATACATTGTTTTTTTTTGTTTTTGTTTTTTACTAAAAACAAGTATGCGAATTTCTATCAATATGTCTGTAAGCATTTGTATATTAATCTTTATTTCTTCTCAAAGGCTCAAAATGATAATTAACAAAGTGGACAAATTCAAATTTAGAAAGTATTTTTACAACTTATACCTTGCATAGGAATTTAGCAAACTTTCAAAAATAATCATTCATTAGATATAATTTTCAATTTGTGCTTATCGTCAAGATTTTTCATGCCTCTTTTTTCTGTGCATATTTTATATCGGCTGATTTTTAGAAAAGGATCGAATGCCGATTAAATTTTTTTGTCCAATTTTTTTAAAATTAAAATTAATTTTAGTATTTTCAGGCTCCCATTATTTTTTTTTTAATAGAAATGTGATCGTTTAAAATCGTTTGTAATAATTAGACTGAGTACAGAATTTATCCCTGGAAACCAAGCTTTTATCATCTTTTAAATAATTTCAATTGAGAAAAAAGGAGAAGAAAACAAACCGTAATCCATAACTGTACAACTTACAGATGTATTCAGTATTTTTATATAAAGGCTTTCTTCGTGTACTAGTATTACTTAAGTTAATTAAAGGGATGCCTTAATATTTTGGAAAATGAAACTCGATCGAGAGATTCTCCGATGTTTTGCAGTCGGTAATAACCTTCAACCCCTTTAGCCAGTAATTAACCCGTCCTCCCTGTGCCCAGTAGCATAATTCGGTCAAATATTTATTGTTCATGAGGGGTGCCTTATAATTAATCACAGGCACCTGAATTTTTATCAGTAAGTCTCTAAATTAGCCAAATATCGAAACATTCTACCCCCTATATATATAAATACACATGATGTCCAACGTCATTTTGACCACCTGTTCGATTCAGGCTTCAATTTAACACATAAATCGGAAATGCCTACTGGTTTTCGTTTAGCATTGGGTTCAAATATGATATTTCTCGCTATACATTTCTTCCTAAAGTTTAAATCTAACGCGTTGATAATGTTATCAGCTAAACTTCATGCTGACTTCGAATTTCGTCACAGGGCCGATCGCCATCAGCTGACGTCACAGAAATTTAATCTCGACACCAAATGCTCCTATACATAAACTTTTTTTAATACAACAATTATAAATTTATTTCATTGACAAACAAAATCAGAAAAAATTAAAAAACCGAAAGATTATGTTGTTCTGATAGTCTTGATTTTATTTAACATATGTTGTATGTATTAGAAACAAATCATAGGTACTAGGTAGAGGCTTTGTTGAAGTTTCCGTTGTCGATAGGTAGCGCCTTATGGAAGTTTCCGGTGTCGATAAAAATCGGACACATGCCATAAAGCGGCTAGCGAAGCTAACCGCTTAAAAACACCAGTCAGCATTTGACTAAATGGTAAATTGTATTTACTGACAAGGTCATTGTATCGGCCATAGAACTTTTGAAATGGTTATTTTAAACGAGACTGCTAATATTATTGTTTCATCAAGTTGTTTGTCAATAACGTATCTCGTTTTAGAAATTGTTCATACGTTTAGCATGCTTTTGCTTATCAAATCAAGTGAGATACATAAACTCCGTATGCTTAAGTAAGGGAAGTTGACGATAGAAATGTTAAAGTCATCACGTTTATCATAGCTTTGTTGCTAGATTACCATTAACTTCTTGTTCAAGTAAACAATCCACATATGAAACAGATGTGTCAGATTCTGAAGTATCTTTTATCTCAAGCTCATCAGGATATATCGTATCGACATAAGAATGGAAATTACAATTGTTTATTTATTGACAATACTTCGTCGATATATAAATATTGGGTTGAAGGCAAGTGTTTTTTTTTCTTTTAACGCACAAGATGCTTCATGTGAATACAAAATATGTCTGCTAATAACGGGGCGTAATTGGTACCCATGGAAATTTCAATAGATTGTTGTTAGGCCTGTTCTCCGAAACAACATAGATATTGTCAATCAGAAACTCAAGCATCTTTAATATGAGATAGCGAACAGTATTCAAGATTATAACAAAATAATTTTGAAAATGACGATTGACAAGGTAAGTAAATTTAAGAAGTACCATTTTTATTGAAAAGCAGCTGTCAATGATATCGAAAAGCCTGGCTTTTAATTTATCGTGGGGAATGGTCGTGTATAAAGTTAAAAAAGTCGTAAGTTTTTAAGTTGCTGATTTGGTTTAAATCTTTTGATTTAAAATTGTCCAAAAGTTTCTAATAATTTTTAAGTATCCACATCTGATTTACACCACATCTTGAAAATATTGATACACTGTACTCTTGAAGTTTCTCCTTCACTACTATTAATATCTTACTTAGGAGTAAAGAAAGAGGCTTGGTGGATCATTTACTGGAACCTGCTATGTATCTTTGTTTGTAAGAATTCATAGGATATCAGGCTTCTAAAATATTTTGTCAAAATAACAAACAGGTCATTTTAGAACAGCATTAAAAAATATTTGTTTTGGTAGAAAAGTATATGAAATATTCTAAAAGAAAAAAAAATTTAAATTTGTGTACATAATTTTTTAAAAATATTCACATATTCCAATGTAAAAATTTCATTGTCCATTGTGGCCACACCCTATCATGGTTTTAAAAAATTGAATCTACATCTTCAGAAGATTTTCAAAGAGTTTTCCAATATATTTCTAAGTAAAACTTTGGTCATCTAATGTGTCCCCGTCCTACCCCAAAGGAGGTAAGATTTGAAGAACCTTGATTTAACACGCCCTTTGGAATGTTTCCACATAAGTTTCATTTTTCCTTGCACAGTAGTTCTTGAGGCAAAGATCAGCAAGTGAGCAAGTTTAGTGAAAAATTGACAATTGACAATTGATTAGGGATCTCTTCACACAAACACCTGCTGCGAGATGGAAAATCTATTTACATGGCCTGATACGAAAAGCCGGTCTACACTTCTGGCAATGAATTTGAAACCCTTTTCTTGATATCTGACCTATACTCGGCACTCAAGGCCATTGAGCAGTGAGGGTTCTTTATCGTGACAGCGTCTACCGTAAAACGGGACCTACGTTTTTAAGGTCATATCCGAAAGACCCGTGACTTTCACTTCTGATGCCGAGCACTTGGCGAAGGAACAGTCACTACCTGTTTTTACGTCTTAGGTTTGACGCGGCGCCGCGAACGAGAATCGAACCCGGGCCTCCCGATCACGAAGCGTGCGCTCTACCACTAGGCTACCGTGAACGGTCAATAGGCCTGATTGTCAACTATGGGAATAAATTAGCAATCTTCAACCGAAAGTGATGGAATCTCCACATCAGTGCAAAAAATATCAGGATTAACGTTGAACAACAAACAAACAAACACAATAAACAGTAGACAGTCCAAACAGTTTTAATTACAAGTTTAAATTACAGACAAAACGCTCCTACGAGCACTGTTATTTGTTAACCCTTCCATCAGTGAGTCTTGCAAGAAGATGTACTGCTCCTGAAAGGTATTGTAAAAAATGAGAGCAAATAGACAATTCAATAGAATATTTTCAATTATATATCACAGAACAAAAAGTTCCAAAACCTATTTTAATGATAAATCGCTGGTAACAAAGCAGGAAGTCCGACAAAATTTACAATAAATGAAGTTAACCACATTAGAAATGAAAACGTATAAAAATTAGAACAAGGAAATATAGTCAAGATTGACACCTTTTCCGGGTACTTTATAGATTACAATGAATTAGATTGAAATAGCTTACACAAGTCTGTAAAGATTTCCCACGTTGATATCGAAGAGAAACTACGTATCCTTTGACGTCAATCGTCTGCTCAGCAGCGCCCTCTTCCAGGAGATAATCAAGGGCGATAAATATCCCTGTTCTACCAATCCATGCACTGTAATAAAAAGGGCGTGTCATTTTCAGTAAGACTCTTGATTTATTAACAGATTTCATATGACAACATACTTACAGTTGTAAAAATAGTGCAAATTATACTTTAATTAAATTTATGATTTAATTAATAGTGCCATATTTGGGAGCAAAATAATTATATAGAAATTTGTATATTTTGAACAAATCAAATAAAATATTTAAATTTTCCCAATTTTTTAAATATTTGAAATAAATATGTAAATATGTTTATTTCCTTATACTGTGTAACAATTTAATTCTCGATCGCGTGATCACTCCTTTATATGATAAGTATGAGTGTCAAGCAGCTGAATACAGCCTTTTAGCATGTATATACAAATACACCAAACTGAATAAAATGCACAAAGCGATGAAATGAATGAAAACAATTGCTACTAAAAACTTCCTAGATTTTTTTCACAAATTCTAGCTCCTATTCGATATTTTGAATAATCAAATACCGAATAATAGATGGAGAAGGATATGGAGATAACGAAGGGTATTCAATATCAAAGTCCATAAAATAATACAAAATTGGGCCAGAGCAAACACGGACCTCTGAAACATCAGAGGTGGGATCAGGTGCCATGGAGGAGTGATCATTCTTATCATGCATCGGGAAACTGTCATCATTAGGTATAAATATTGATTTGTTTAAGTTTAATCTGTAATATTTACATTTGCAAATGTTTTCGATTATATAACACTACTGAAGGCAAGCGTTTTTATAACTGTATAAATACAAGTATGGGGTCAAGAGGTCATAGATGTGCGTTTGAATAAACGTTCGACGTAATTTCTCTGTGACGTCATAAAGGGTCGACGCGCGTTTAGTGGTTTACATACATGCCGTTGGGTTTGAAAAATTAACGCATTTCACACGTTAAAAGTAACAATCAGGCAAATATAAAGTATGAATAAGTCACAAATGTAAATATAAGTAATAAGGTATCATTTTTTGAGTTTTATTGAGATGTAAAACGGGTTGGCACATGATCAAATCTTTCATAAAGCCCTTCCGGCTTTATGGGATTTGATCACGTGACAAACCCGTTTTACATCTCAATAAAACTCAAAAAATGATACCTTATTTCTTAATAAATTTTGGAAAACATAGCATATATGTTGCTCATTTACGCTGTATAGACGATGACTTATGAAGTGTAGAATCAAATGAAAATTACGTAAGATGCATCAGGTACATGTATTTCATTCCTATATTTGTCTGGAAATTTTGTTTTTGTTTTACTTTCTCTTTTAGTTTTTGTTTTACTTTCTCTTTTAACAAAAATATGAAAATCATAATCTATTTTGTTTGGTATGCCTTTTCATTTATGACAGCTGAAAGTGGGATAATTCCATAACGGTTTCGCCCATTATACAAATTATCACTAATTTCTAACCATCATTAATGATCAAATATAGACAACAAACTAGACAACGCTTATATAAACATTCAATAATCAATTGCACAAGGTGAATATGTCTCTAAACTGTTTCAATATCGAAACTAAAGAACATGTTCTGAGAGCAATGTTCTTTTAAATCAGAGACAAATAAATATAATATATAAGTGAAGTTGATGGTACCATTTCTTTTGATTTACTAATGAAAAACATTATTTCGAAAACTTACGCTTTTCTTTACAATTACATTATATTACATCATCTTCACTGATATATTTCATACCAATTATTAAGTTAAAGATTTTATACTATACTAACTTAAATGTATTAATTTGATCCCAATTGAGCGCTCACTTGTCTGGTCGACAAGTCGTCTTTATTGCTCCTTTTACGAACCGGATTTCACTTTCGGTATTTATACAAATTTTCCTCTTCATCATGGTTTCTATACGATCTTTACTGGATAACTTATATTGATCATCGTTAAATATCCACCTTTTATAATATATATTTCCATGTATTTACCTGCAGTGAACAACAATTGGACCGTCAAATGACGTCATACCATTCCTAACTAAATTTCGGATGCAGATGAGTGACGTCAGATCCTAGATCTGGAACGGAGTTGTCAGGCCACGTAGTGAAATGAAACTGTGTCACTCTTTTTTCTTCTTCCTAACCAATTAAAGGGGAACATTGGGGTAAAAAGCAGAGCTGCAGTGTGAAATGATATAGATATAACAAACAATATTCAAGTTCAGAAGTCCATTAAACAATACAAAGAAGGAGCATGACAAACACGGACTTTCAAATTATTAAACAATTAATTTTAATTTTAGACTTTGTATACCACAAATTATATTCCAATCGGAAGTAGATGTTTGATACCATTGTGTACTTAGTCACTCAAAAGAAACAGATGAACTCAAACTTTATAATTTTAATTTTCAAGTTTATAACAAGGACTTTGTTGATATACATGATAATATTTTCATTATATGAATATACTTAAAAAAAACCTCAAACCACCTTTATTCCTTCAATTTTTTCCCAGAAATTCAAATCATCCCCTTCTTTCAAATAAAATACCATTTTTCTCGTTGCAAATGTGTATGCAGACATAACCCCCCCCCCCCCCCCCCCCCCCCCCCCGATATACGCAAAATAAGTCAATAATGTGGAGCTATTATAGATAAAATATATACCTCAATTTTCTTAGACTTTTGAATGATATAAGACGATATTGTTAACATGCAGTTCACCTGATAATAGACAATCAAATAGCGCAAGATGCAGTTGTCATACACATCCACCGTGTCCAGATTAATGGTGTAAGGTCCAATGTCCAGTTCTGTATCAGGCCAGTACTTCAGACACTTCATCTTAAAAGAGGGTTTAAATGCAAACCGCATAATAATCACTCTCAAAGGTCTTGATGTTAAATACCATTCATATATCAAAGAATTAACATTTATATGAGCATCGTTGTCTTCATGTCTAATAGGAAGTTACTAATTACTAAAAAAATAATATATTATATACACATTTAGTCTTTTTTTCTTATTATTATGATGAGAGGACTTATTATTCACTGTATCAGCTATGTATAGTAATTATCAGGGACCTTATCTCCTTCGTACAGATTGGTCAGCATTACGATTCTTGTGGAGTCATTCTGCCATATTACCGACCAGAAATCCTCTTATGTTTTAGAAGTGAAAGGACCTGTTGCATTAAAATAATTGATGAGTCATTTAGATTTAAGAAATAAAATTCTTTCTTTGGTTTTTAGTATGGGAAGGAATGTCGCAGCTATCGCAGAAAAAATACATAACCCACGTAAGCAGGTTATGTAATTTTTTTCTGCAATAGCTGCGACGTTCATTCCCGTACTAACAATCAAAAAAAAAAACATTTTATTTTTTATTTTTATATCTGTTTAAAAAATCAAACAAGGAAGGATTAAAAAGACTAATTCTTGTTTTATTGATACATATATGTACGACTTAATACTTTTCATTGATGGAACAGTCACTGATCAAGAAATCTGTACAGGTAATATGTCTAGTTTTGTTCATGCACTGATTAACGCAATTGCTTTTCTTAAGAAATAGAGGAGTAAATATTCAGTGAATGTAAATATTTTGAAAATTAACACGTATACGTAATTGAATGAATTAGCAGTTGCCAATATTTTAAGAAAAATTGTCTGTCAAACAGGAAGCTATTAAAATTATGTCTAAAATAGATTATTTTAATACTTTTTCAAAATTCGCTGTAGTATTAGCAATATTTTAACTTTGAGAATATGAAACTCTGTTTTCAAAAATAAACATGTCAGTTGACCTTGTGCGGCTATATAAGCACGTTCTTTTGCGAAACCCTAAATCAAAAGTAAATATATTATATATAGCAACAGGGGTCGAAATAACTAGTACTTCCGTGGGAAAATGACAAGATAGAAATGTGACCCGGAAATATATTAAAACAATTTATTTTATACTGACATGAATGTATGAAGCATTTACAAAATCATCATCTGTATCATCTTCTGTTCTGATTAACTTCACGCGATTATAATCATCTGAAAAAAGGAAATAAGATTACATTTTTTTTAATTGAATTGGTCCATGCAGACCATTTATTTTATGCAAATGTATAATTTACCATGTTTACTTATTTGCGCAAAGAAACTTTGTTAAATCTGAAGTAAAGTTCAAAGACTTTAACTTACAGGGATAAATGCTTTTGTATCTGCTACCGCCCCTGTTTGAAATCTTAAGTGCGTTTGAATAGGATTCAAGCAATCCACATGGAAGGTCCTTTGATTAAAAAAATATTTATATTTTAAAAAAATACTTATAACATTTTATTAAACTTAATATTGATTCCATGTTTCAAACAAACATAATTGTCAATCCCATATAGTAATAAAGCTAGATTTTTCTGCGCTTTTCCCCTGTCCCATGGCTACACTCTAGACTTAAGATTTTTATATTTCTTCAATCAATTTTAAGTATAGTATTAGATAATATACATGTTGCAGTTTGAGCAATAACGCAATAAATGAATGTGTAATATCTGCTAAAATGCTAAAAAAGCATTAACCCAAGGGATCCTTCAATAAATGTAATGGTTATTTGAGAAAGTCTCTAAAACATAACAATTAGATTTTCCTGCCATATACTTAAATTGATGTTGGCAAGAAACTGTATGAGAGATTGGTGTAGCTACCTCATTTTTTAAACATTTAAAATTTATATTGGCCTATTAAATTCTTCTTGATAAAATTTATAAATTACAGACTTAAAGGACAGAAGTACTAATAAGACTGATAATAATTGCCACATACATCAAACTCTTTTTCTAGTGTACCATTGCGTTTGCTCTCGGGCAACTCTTTGATAAACTGCTCTATTGAAACCCTCTGTGACGTCAGATTACTGTACTCAACGACAATAACTTCATCTTCTACGTAATCAGCCTCGTTTTGAGGAATCTCCTCTAGATCCGACTCATTTCTCGACACTGGTCTCTGAAGATTATCAGGAATTTGACTTTTCCTTTTTGTTTTTGACCTTAGATTATTCCACCTATTTAATCAAAAACAATTTTCACCCTGAAATTGATTTTCAGATTTATTTTCTTATATGATATCTTAATATTTCATGATTGTTAAAAATTGACATAAAAGATATGATTATTTACATAAAAGATGTATTAATATTGATATATTAATTTTATTTATTTTCCCGAGTAAAAATTAGGTATATTACAATTTTATATAGTAAGGTGAATGAAAAATAAATTGATCTTTATGAGGGAATATCTGATAAGTTCTGGTAAAACATGAGGCAACAAGTGAATTTTAAACCGAATGGCATATTTAGCAAATCTTAATATCATCAGTTGTAAATATGTTGTATTGATTATTATTTTTGCATTAATAATACAACTTTTGTGATACCTTAGTACAAAGAGAATAGCGACAACCAGTAGTAATAAAACAACCGTGCCACTCAGAGTCACTAGTAGTATTGGGAATTCTTCTTGGTCTTTTTTATCATCTGTATTTTCTGAAAAGAAACTCCACTTACAGGTTATTATATACATGTAAGAATCCAAAGTCTGATGGTCTGACATTGGTGCACGAAAGCAACATATGATTCATGATGTAACAATATTTTATATTCGAAGCTTGCATTTTTAGGGTCAAACCTGGGGGCCCTAAGACTTACTCGAGCTCATGCACTTATGATCCCAGTCTCACTTTTCCGCTATCAATTCCTTTGGAAAAAGTAAGGTTGAGATCAAAAGAGGTTTTTGCCCCAGATGGTTGCAGAATTTCCAAATTTGAAAAACAAGTTCTTTTAATGATCTGTTATGATCTTTTACAAATATAGTTCCTAATTGATCTAAATAAACATGCACATAAGTACACCAAGGGAGTGTAGACCTTTAATACTGATGGCATCATATAAATATTTCTCCACATGAGGATAAACATAAAACATTCAAACAAGTGTAACATATAATTTAAATATGAAGAAACCCAGAGTTTTCAAAATTTCCCATTTTATCCTGCATTTTTAGAAACATCAATATAGAATGTGTATACCTTTAAAAATATCCATCACTGCACCTCTTGTCTTATTCCACTGCGGATCAGTAGTGGTGGTGACTACTTCAGTTTTTATATCTGCACGGAACAAAGTGTACGATTTAATTTATCTTTAAATGTTATAAACTACCTGTGTTTGTAAAACATAATCTACCAACAATTAGACTTTGTTATGATCAATATCTGCAACAATAAATATGACTGATCATTATTGATTTAAGATTTGATTTAAAAAAGTAATATTTACAATTAGTAGAGATTTTATATTCGAAGCCATTTCCATTGTAACGTTCTCCACAAATACGACAGCTTCCGGTTTGTTTGTCACATCTCTTCTTAGGGCATATTGATGGACATCGATATTGACAAAAATCCCCATACAAAGCTCCGTTGCATTGGTTGCATACCCCATATATAGGGTCGCAGGAAACACACGCCTTTCTGCATTTAGCACAGTTTATTCCATAGTGATTTGCAGGACAAACTACAATTCATTTATAAAACTAAAAGGCATTGCAAAAGCAAAAAGAAATGGATAAAATTGTGTGCCAGTCAGAAAAAAATTGCGGATGATCATAATTTGAATCATTGCATTTCTAACATAAAATACAATCCTCAAATATATGTTCGACGATTCCAGCAATAAAGAAAATTTAGTTGCTGGTTGAAACAGTCACATATACTATTCATTATTTTGAGAATTACAAATAATTGATGTAAACCAACTTTTATTCGTGTGCAAGAAATTTTCGGGAGGTTTGGCGAGAGCCTCGTATTCTCGAATATTTCTCGCCGCAAAGCGGTCCTTAAAGTGTATGTGTCTATAAACAGAAGGGTCAAATAAGGCTTGATCAAGAAAATTAATCGTAGCAAACTAGGTAAATCGCGAAATAAAGTTTTTGCAAATAAAAGTTGGTTTACAATACCTATAGGATGCACTTCAAACAGCCTCAATGGTCCTTGGTCGATTCTTCTAATTACAATAGAGTTCCCTTTCACTTCTTTATTACACTCTACTATAATGCGGTGCTTCGTTGCTGGATTACTAAGCTTCAGTTTTTTGCAAAGGGCCGACGTATTAAGATTTCACAGAGTTTTAGATACGTGCACTTCGTATTTGCCTAAGTGAATTAAGACACAAAATGATAATAAAGATACCAAAGCATTCTAAAATAATAATAAAGTCTTACCAAAGTATTCGTTAATATTTTTATTTTTTTTCAAACGGGATGGATTTTAGTCAAAATAATACACCTCCTCTAATAAGAAGTATCCATTTGATTTCCTAACTATTGTTCAGCATCATATACCATGTTGCATTGTCCCGTGCTTCAATTACAAAGTAAGTGTCTACATCACCGTCTAAAATCTTTTTGCCTTCATCGCCACCAGAATGGTTCTTTTGCGGGATATTCCAAGATTCAAATTCTAATTGAAAGAAAGAATGAATTCCTTCCAATTTACCCTCGCTATTTACCAGGTATAACACAGGAATGAAACATTGGATAATAATTCATACTTCTTGGTTTTATTTCATCAATTTGCAGGGCGCCATGATCTAGTTTTGAAATAATAATTTTGTTTCCTTCAGTAGGTCCATAGTTATCGAGGTTGCAAGTTACAGTTTCACTTTGGGTGGTTGTATTGCACGTTCTTTCAATTTGGGAACAACTTCGGGGTTTATGGGTGTCTTTCTGTATGTGGATGTCGTATAGTCCTGTAAAAAAATGAAAATGAAAAGTGTAATTGAAACTTTTTTTTCACTCAGATACCAAACATATATAAAGTTAAAGGAAAGAAAAGATAGTCTGTGGGTTAATTATTATTTATCATATTGACTTGAAATCAAACTTTGATTTAGGGATAGAATACGTTTAACACAGATCATTTTTAGTCCATAATATATTAGTATTTAAACTACCACAGCTAATGCTTAGGAATATCCAGAAGATTGAATAATCTCTATCAAGGGTCATTGACCAGTTCTGCTTTACGTCATTTCCGGTAAGGGAAAATGTTTCCATGTAGTCATCACAAGCGAAATGTGCAGAAGACGATCCGTTTTTAGAAGACTGTTTAGCATCGCATCTTACATCCTGGGTATTACCTTTCAAACAATCCCAAAACATAACAAATACCATTTACTGTCATATGCCCAATTTTATAAACATAAATATACGAGGGGTTATCAAAAAAGTTCATGGACTAGCGTCATAAAATTAAAACCGCTTTAAGCACATCAATGAATTTTAATATATCTAGTAAGCATCATCTTTTCTATCTAAAGAATAAACCATAAATCATAAATTTTATTTTTCAAAAAATTAGTGATGTTTTTGTAAGCAATGGTATGTCCAAGCGGCGCAACCTCGAACACGACGTTTTTGCGACCTATGTGTAACTGAGGAAAAACTCTTTTGATATGGTCATTTGACATCCAAAAATTCCATTAAAACAGGTATGTGTCTGGACACAGTTGTTCCATAAAATACGAAATTTTAACTTCATTCTGAAAGTTCTATGAAATTTTATCGCAAATTTTACACGGAATGTCCAAACAAAAGAGGCCCTAAAAATGACGTTAAAAGGGGGAGGGGTTTCCAATTCCAACATTCTATAAAGTTCTGCCCCTGAAAAAACTGATATAGACCTGAAATATGTTGAAACTGGCTACAGCGAAATAAAGTGCACCCAGAGTACTTGTCTTTTAATGTAAAAATAGATTTAGAGAGAAAAGGGATACACAGTTAATGTCGATGTGCAGTCAAGGAGTGAAAAATCAATCACGTCAAAAATGACGTTGATCATGCGTTGTAGATATTGACCTCCCAAAAGCAAAATATGCCGGCACAATCAAGCGCGGATCTCTCCCAATGTATTAATCCATTTGGAATATTATATTCATTGAAGGCCACTGTTCATGACATTGTAAAGTCATATAAACAAGGCGGGTTTAAGTCCTTACTCAGCTCCAGGGTTTCTCATCAAGAAAGTGTATGAGGTAGAAGAAGCGGACAATGAAAAAACAATGACGTTATAGGACGTCATGAAAATAAACGACGACAGCGCCGGGTGATCATATATTGGCTTTTTCATTTTATAATAATTTGGAAAATAATGAACGTATCAGGCTAAGATTTTCAACATTTCTTTATATTTTGTTGTTTTATGTTCCATATAAATTTTGAAAGCACAGACTGCATAGTACTAATTTTATAGCCTCAGTCCACGAAGTTTTTGATAACCCCTCGTAACTTATGTATTTTCATGATTCATTTGCACGACAAACCTGTTCAACTCTTAAGATTTCTATGTCATTCGTTTGTATAATTACAAAAATTAGAAAGAGTAAATACATGTACGTACCTTTAGTGAAATTATCAAATAAAAATAAAGATGCACACAAGTATACCCAGGGATTGTACACCTTTAATACTGATGACATCATATAAATATTTCTACACATGAGGATAAACACAAAACAGTTCTATCAGTTAAAAGTATTTCTATCAACTCTCAGTGTTTCCGTACCTGCAGATGTTGTAACAACGAACTCTGTACAGAAACTGCCTCATCTATGTTCGAATAAATACTTTTTACGGAAGATAATGACTGCATATATCCTACACTACATCTATTTTCTTTTCTCATGTGTCCTGCATTATTTCAAGAAAGCTATACAGAAAGGGAGGCAGTGTAATGAATTTATCAGTGTTAATGTTCCTTATAAATTAAAGTCAGACAACGTGATTTCGTTGATACAAAAATTTTCCAAGAGGTTGTCACCAAATAATTGTTTCTTAAACAAGTTTCTTCATAAAGAATTAAGAGTACCTATGTATTTGTGTGCAAAATATAGCAGAGGAAGAAATTTTCCATATTATTCAATTGTGAATCAGTATCATGACCAGTATCTAAATCTGGTTTGCTTTATATATGATTAAAATATTTTGACTACAACTTAAAAACTGCAAGATCATTATGAAATAATATCTATATATTGATTTGCCTTATACTTTCATGAGCTACTAAACAGGTGTTTAAGCAATGCGTCGTCAGACCCCAAGCTATTATACGAATGTAGTACAACACAAAGAATCATTAGGTAAATGCTTATAAAGTTCATTCTTAATTTTACAATATATGAAACATATATTTAAGAAAACTGAGTCAAAATTAGCAGTGCCTCTTTATGAAAAAAAATAAGTTGAATAAAATACCGTTTATGGGAGGCACTTTTAAATATGAACTCATTCTAAAATTGATTTAATGAAAAGTTTGATGGTCTATATCTATTATTTACGATCCAGCTGTCTCCTGTGTATTTCGTCGGCTAACTGCTAAATTTTAACTCGATCACGGGACAAACTGCACAAACAAGAAAAAGAAAAGAACTGAAAAATAAGCGTTAAATAAATCAAACCATGAATATTAAACTATTACATAAAAAAGTAAATAAAATTCTTAGCTTGAGGATTATTAATGTCTAGACGTTTAATACCTAAAATTTCCTACTTCTATGGTGGTACGTACGTAAAAGTTTCCGTTGACTAAATTGCAGCATAAAAATCAAAACAAATTAAAGGATAACTAAAAGTAAACTAGATAACAAGTTATGTATTCAAATCAGCGAGCATAAAAATTGATATATTTCAGGATGAAAACTGTAAATATTTTTACATTAGTTAGTTTGAAAGGACAAGTAGGATTCAAAACGATTTCCTATCAATGAGGAAAATTTATCTTATATATTTATTAGTGTTCTCTCTATTTTGAAAATAATTTTTAATTACCATGTTAAGAAGACACGGTATTCAAGAAACTGATATTTATATCAGTATCCTTTGATTGATTTATTGACTGTATATTGTTTAACGTCCCTCTCGAGAATTTTTCACTCATATGGAGACGCCACCATTTGCCGGTGGAGAGCTGCAAATTTGTCCTATACTCGGCACTCCGGGCCATTGAGCAGGGAGGGATCTTTTTCGTGCCAGGACCTACTGCGACACGGGGCCTCGGTTTATACGGTCTCATCCGAAGGACCGGTCTCCACGTCCCGCAGTGGGATTCAAACCCGCGACGTAAGGATTGACTCTTTACTTCGCGACTCTAGAGCAGACGCTCTAACCACTGCGCCACGCGGGCGACCAGTATCCTTTGAAGTTGTTTGACCAAAAACATTTTATGTAAGTGTATATGTTGCACAATTAATCAATGTCCAGAGGAATTCTTATGGTGGCATATTTCTGCCCCCTACATGGAAGATAAATTATGTTAACATTCGACATAATTATGTAGACATGCAACATATTATGTCAACATGCAAGAAAATTTTGTCAACATGCAAGTTACAAATTTTATGAGAAAATATAATTTAAATATGGGTAAATTTAATTATGGTGGCATATTTCTGCCCCCTACATGCAAGATAAATTATGTTAACATGCAAGAAAATTATGTTAACATGCAAGAAAATTATGTGAACATGCAAGATAATTATGTTGACATGCAAGTTACAAATCTTTTAAGGGAATCTGATTTAATTATGGGTAAAATCCCGTTCTGACGCCCGTATCTGTCATCGTAGATGCAAGATGCAACATAATTATGAGAAGATGCGACGTACTTATGTTAGAATGCGAGATAATTATGTTGACATGCAAGACATTTATGTCAACATGCGAGGTAATTATGTACACATGCAAGATATTTATGTCAACATGCGAGTTAATTATGTAGACATGCAAGATACTTATGTTAACATGCAAGATATTATGTGGACATGTAGGATATTTATGTTCACATGCAACTTATTTATGTCAACATGCAAGATAACAACTTGCATATCAACTTACATATCTTGCATGTAAACATAATTATCTTGCATGTTGACATAAATAAGTTGCATGTTGACATAAGTATCTTGCATGTAAGTCCAAAACATATTTTCACAAATACAATTTAGAATAAATGTGGTAGATGGAACGTACTGAATTTACAAAGAATCATCTTAGATTGACTCACATACAAACTCACTCACATCTGCTCTCTGACAACTCTGCTACTTTTGTACTGTCCAGCCAATTAAAAATTAGGATAGAAAGTTGCATTATCAGGGGGAATCTGCATGTTTGACATGAATTTAAGAGGTGCCGACCCTCTGATAAGACATATATCCTTCAAAGTACAAAATATGAATACTACTCATAGTTTTTGTTTTCAGAGAGTCCTAATTAAGACTTCTGAGTAGTCAATTTGATGAAATCTAACATATGATGGAAACTTACTGCAACTTTCTATTTCTTCAATCAATTTCTTCCTAATTGTTTTATTTTTCAATCCAACTTCAAAAGCTTTATAAATTGAATAAGTTGTATCTTTATAAGGACCATTTAAAAATGGTTTAATGTTTAAAGTACTATATACAGAATTTTTATTATTTTGACATTTTTTTTCGCATGAAGAAATATTTAGAGGAAAGATAACGGAAAAATTACTCCTCCTCACAGATGTATTTTTTTTTTCTTACAACCACATATAACATTGTAATTTTCTGACTTAGAAAGCATCGCTTGATGATGTTTTCTGACATGATTTTAATAGGTATGATACTAAGTATTATTTTCATATTCACCTCATATTCTAAATTTAACGTTTTGATAATAAATATATGTAGTTACTCTTTCTATTTTCTGTGTTGGAAGAGGGTGTTGCAGTTCTTTTGTTAGTTTCCCTAAATGTGTAGCAGATTACTAGAAGAATTTTTATGTTGCAGAAACTCATATTAATTTTTTTTTCAAATGCATTAATATATAAAGCACAACGAGAAACAATATTTGGAAGGTGTGTATTGACTTCCAATTTGCCTTAAATGATGTGAAAGTTAGTAATTCGGCAAAATATATCAGATTTTCCGTTTTTTTAAATAGGGAATCCCCATTGTTCTGAAAAAGTGCCTATTGAAACAGAATAATTTTGATGTATACACAAAGAGGCAGGAATTTTCTTCAAAACAGCCATTTCCGATTTTTGTTTCAAAGAGGCACATTTTTGAAAAACACAAAAATTAAATAAAAATTATTCTCCAAAGGAAATGCAAAATGTGTACTTTTAAATAACACTAGAAAATCATCGTGTCCGAAATGGTCTAGTGGATATGCTGGTGGTATTCCAACTAGTACTTTTACCAGAGAATGGGTTCGAATCCTGGTATGGATCATTTTTGCATTTTTTTCATATGTAATGGTAGTGCAGAAATTATATATATTTTGAAAGAGAGGGAGGGGGATGTCAAGAAGTTAATAACTAATCGATATAATAGAAATGCAGGCTTAAATTGTTTTCCTTGATATGCTGTGACTTAAAACTAATGCTTTATTTAGTTTTGTCTTGGAAAATATAGTTACTGTATTGTTTAAATAATAAGTTTTTTATATACTGTAGTTATTGCAATTTTGGTCTCCTAGTTAGTAGCCAAGATTTGACTCGAAACAAATAAAATGTCTAGGATAAGGCACCAACAGTGTGATTATGGGACACAGTTGTATTTCATGAAAAATATTTTCGCACGATGTCTGCAGTATATCTTTCAAAAGCTGTTTTAGCCATTGTGCTTTTTGTTGTTCCAACCTCTTTCGTGCAAAATTACGAAACTGTTTTGTTGTATCAAGCAGGAAATACCCGCCGTAAACATAGCCCTCTACGTAGTTGTATCTATATTTAGACATAACGAGGGTATTTAAATGTCCTTCTCGATATATAAGGAATAATCGCGAGTCTCTGCAACACCCTCTTTCTAGGCCTTTCAACTGCCGCTAGGGGTCGGTTTTATGAACGATAACCCACTGCTGAAACATGTTGAGAGCAGGCTCGGGGTATCTAACTGTTTACACGCAAGGCAGTTTTAGCATTTCCCAAGTGTTTCTTTGCTTTCAGTAGAATCCAGTGGTTTTAAAATTTAGTACCAATGTTAAACTTATTTACTGTATAGTTGCGGACACCATTTCACTACATATTAAAAGTTTTGATTAAAATAAAAAGTGAAATCTACCCTCCTTCTTAGTTCTAACCTAATTAAATTTTTATACTCGGTCGTTCCCCTTCGTGCTTCGTAACACAAGTAAGATGATCAATTGCTGCATTTACTTGTAAAAATATATAAATTTATATAGGAAGCGAAAAAGCGCGCACACAAAAACATGACATTAAATTTTCTTCTTCATAATAATCGTCAAAGAGAGTTAAAAATATTGAATATAGTTTGTTCCCTATTCATTTGACCCTGTTATTTCAGGTAGAGTGAAGGCATTCTCTTTCTCACGGTCAACACTTTTGTGTACAAAACAATGTAAGGAACCCTTTTGTGTACATAACAATACCAATTCAGAAGCAGCCTATAAGTCATTCCTATAAACGATAACTCATAAATTGGCACTAAGTTGGTCATTTTTCACACCTGAGTTACCTATCCTTAAAACACAACATCGGAAAAGTCAATTATAAATATTTAAACTTTTTAATAATGTAATTAAATGTATGCATAAGTTATTATCTTTTTTGATAATTTCATGTACTTAAAAATCTATCTATGCAATGTTTTTTACCATATGTGCAACTTGAAAAATTAATTGAAAGGCCTACTCTTTCTTCATATCATGATCTGACATAAAAATCATTTCTGTAAAAACAAGCAGCGCTTCATACTTCAAACTATTTTCCTGTGGCTCTAATGTTATTGTTGTTCATGAAAATCAAAATTAGAAATTTTAGATTTTATGAAATTTATAGCAGAGGGTCGGGACCCCTTAAGCACTAAAATTGTGTAGAGCTAAGCGAAACAAATTCAAAGAACACAATCCTAAGATCTAACAATAAAGGTGATAACAAGTGTGAGTAAATGACATTGATATCTTGAGACAGGTAAGAGATGTGAAGAATAAGATATTGTTGCCATGTGCAAAAATGCCCTTTCTAAACATAAAATGAAATCAATTATTCTAAAATACAGGTTTCAAAGAAGACCGATAATACATAGAACAATTATATAGAAAAAAATTGATAATTAATAATATGTCATTGATAAACCCTCATAATACACAATCATAACAATGTTTTAAGTTTTCACGACATTTTATTTAACAAAATCTCTTAAGCAATCTGTCAAGCTAAGGATGAATTGTTGTATGAAACAACTTGCCTCTCTTTCTTGGAGAAATGTAACTTATCTCTGATGCCTATGAGAAGTAGGCATCCCCTTTTAATTGATCACGAGAAACGGGTTCTAAAGGCCAACCTTTAAGTAAATTGTCTCATTTAAACTGGAAAAACCCTTGAAAATATCAAATTGTTTTTATCTTCTAAACAAGGCCTAAATGTCAATTTCTATGGGTAAATATAATGCAAAATATGTGATTATCTTTTAAAAATACTCATTTTGTTATTGATACTAATACAAATTAATGATAAATTCTTCAATACTGCATTTGAAAATCTTCATTAACACACTCTTTCCTTCTTATAATAGTAATCGCTTAAAGAACAATGAATAAACGAATATGTGTTCTTTGGCTAATGGATCATCGTTTGCTCTTGTGTCGCAAAATAAGGACATTGGCAAGGTTCCTGGCTTTTTTTTTTTTTTTTAGATTTTTTCAAGAACTCTTGAACAGGTGTGATGATAATAAACATGTTATATTCTGGTACATTTAAGGCGGAATGCCACACCATCTTTTTTATTTTATAGATCTTTGAGTCATCCTTTCTAAACAATGGTTTCAGCATTGAAAGGTCGATATTAGCTCTTAATTATTTTATATGAATTTTTTAGTATTTTTTCAAAGAAAATGAAAAAAATTATTTATATCCAAATAAGTTGTTTTCGAATAAAAAGTTTGTTGTAAATGAATGCATCATATGAATATCTAATAAAATATGTGAAGAAAGACTGGTTAGACTTTTTAATTTTTTAATAAAAAAATTATTTATGAAAATAAAACACATTATTTGTAAATATTTTTTTTAACCTATGGTTTAAAACACCATTAAACTAGTCACCACTGAGGACAACATGTTTGTCAATCATATTTTAAAAAGAAATTGAAACGAAATTGAGAAATTTTAGAGAAATTAATTTTTTTAATATTTGGACCTAACCCGATCAAAATTAAACTGATCCCGATCAAAATTAACACAAAATGAATAAAATGCTAATTTATTGACTCTTCATGTATTTACAATGAAGAAATCTCTTTTATTGTTAAGTTCAATAATGTTTCAACCCTTATTACACCCATTCAGACTAGTGTTCTTATGGAAACGTTCTTTATTTCCATTAATTGTGCAATTATGGTTGGGATCGGTTTAATTTTCATTGAGATTGGCCAAAATTAAAAAAAAATTATTTCTCTAAAATCTGCCTATTTTGTTTCAATTTCTTTTATAAATACGATTAATGAACATGTCCACCCCAGTTGTGGTTGGTTTTAAGAAGATTTTAACCACAAGTTTAAAAAATATTCACAAATTATGTTTTATTTTCATAAATATTTTTTATTTAAAAATTTTCAATATCTGTACAGCTTTTCTTTACATATTTAATTAGGTATTTATGTGATGCATTCATTTACAGCAAAATTTTTACAAGAAAACATCTAATTTGTATGTAAATATTTTTTTTCATTTTCTTTGAAAAAATACAAAAAAATAATATAAAATAATTTAGAGCTAATGTCGGCCTTTCGATGATGAAACCATTGTTTAAAAAGGTTGACTCAGAGATCTATAAAATAAAAAATTGGTGTGTCTTTCCTCCTTAACCCACTAAACCACCCTTCCTTATTAAATTTTGTCAAATCAATTCTCAATGCATTTCCTATGAAAAATGTTGATAAAAAGGACCTACTTAAATTTTTACCATAATAATTTTCCAAATTTTAGTCATTTGAGAAAGTTTATATATTATATACATTATTGTATCCCCATTTCCAATAATATCTAGATATCATGACTAAAACACAAATTTAGAAACATGACACAGATCTACCAACACTGTTTATTATTTTAGAGTTACTTCCCTTAGAATCTAATTCGTATTCATAATGGTAAAAACTGTTTGACTGGTTATATTAAGTAATTTACCATATTGGAAACAAATTTTCATAAAAATATTGGCATAGACTTGTTTTATATTTGTTTACAGTTATTTCATGTAAATGTTGCCTCCTTCGCACGACCTCATTCAGTTACAGGTTCTCGGCATTTGTCATATCTTGTGATTGTCCTTCCCAGCATGGGTATACGGTAAATAACGGTCTGTTGACCACTGTTTACTGTCTGTCCCTGAACACAATGTACAACAAAACAATCACCGTATTTCTTTCCTACTGTAGAGATGATTCTACTCGTTGAAGGAAGCACATGTGCTTTTGTTTACCTCTGTAAAATACGCTTTGTTGGTTTTCATTTCATAGAGAATTCTATACGGGAGATCACTCTCAATTACAGTTTTATAAGTGAATAAACCCATGATATAAACGTTTTTTCTACGGATAAACTTGACTAGCAAATGTCCTTAAATCACGGGTTTAAATCCACTTCGGAACGTGGAGATCGGCTTTACGGATGAGGCCGTGTCAATTGAGGTCCCGTGTCGCCGTAGGTGTTGCTACGAAAAAATTCCCTAACGACCCAATAGTCTTTTTTATCCATTACAACGTTATAGTCCTGACTGTCGGTTACAGGAATAAATGTGCAGCCTTCCACCAAAAGAAATGACACCTCCATATACGTGAAAAATTCTAGAGAATAACGTAAAGCAACAGACAACCCCCCCCCTCAAAAAAACAAAAACAAAAACAAAAACAAAACAAAAAACAATGGACAGTTCACACAGTACTCCAATATGGTTTTAAAGTACCGACAACACGCTCCTGCGAGCACTGTTATTTGTGAATCCTTCTATCAGTGAGTCATGCAGGAAGATATACTGCTCCTAAAAGTATTGAAACAAGAGGCCCATGGGCCACATCGCTCACCTGAGCACTGTGGCTAGGAAAAAGCAGAATTGGTTTATACTTGAAAAGCTAAAATCCAAAACTAGTCCCAAGACCAATCATGGCTTTGCTATTCTTGAGAAGAATTTTAAAGAATTTTCCTATATATGTATTTCTATGTAAAACTTTGGTTGGCCATTTTGGCCCCGCCCTACCCCTGGGGGTCATGATTTGAACAAACTTGAATCTACACTACCTGAGGATGCTTCCATATAAATATGATCAATTATGGCTTTGCTATTCTTGAGAAGAAGATTTTTAAAGAATTTTCCTATATATTTCTATGTAAAACTTTGGTTGGCCATTTTGGCCCCGCCCTACCCCTGGGGGTCATGATTTGAACAAACTTGAATCTACACTACCTGAGGATGCTTCCATATAAATATGATCAATTATGGCTATGCTATTCTTGAGAAGAAGATTTTTAAAGAATTTTCCTACACATTTCTATGTACAACTTTGGTCGGCCATTTTGGATTTTGGCCCCGCCGTACCCCTGGGGGTCATTGTTTGAACAAATTTGAATCTACACTACCTTAGGATGCTTCCATATAAATATGATTAATAACGGCTTTGCTATTCTTGAGAAGAAGTTTTTAAAGAATTTTCCTATATATTTCTATGTAAAGCTTTGGTTGGCCATTTTGGCCCCGCCCTACCCCTGGGGGTCATGATTTGAACAAACTTGAATCTACACTACCTGAGGATGCTTCCATATAAATATGATCAATTATGGCTTTGCTATTCTTGAGAAGAAGATTTTTAAAGAATTTTCCTATACATTTCTATGTAAAAATTTGGTTGGCCATTTTGGCCCCGCCCTACCCCTGGGGGTCATTATTTGAAATAACTTGAGTCTACACTACTTGAGGATGCTTCCATATAAATATGATCAATTATGGCTTTGCTATTCTTGATAAGAAGATTTTTAAAGAATTAACATATATATTTCTATGTAAAACTTTGGTCGGCCATTTTGGTCCCGCCCTACCCCTGGGGGTCATTATTTGAACAAACTTGAATCTACACCACCTGACGATACTTCCATATAGATATGATCAATTATGGCTTTGTTGTTCTTGAGGAGAAGATTTTGAAAGAAATTTCCTATATACTTCTATGTAAAACTTTGATCGGCCATTTTGGCCCCGCCCTACCCCTGGGGGTCATGATTTGAACAAATTTGAATCTACATTACCTGAGGATGTTTCCCCATAAGTTTCATCTTTCCTGGCACAGTGGTTCTTGAGAAGAAGATTTTTAAAACATGCCACCAAATTTTCATTAATTCCCAATTATCTCCCCTTGAATGAGGGCGTGCCCTTCATTTGAACAAACTTGAATCCCCTTTACCAAAGGATACTTTGTGGCAAGTTTGGTTGAAATTAGCCCAGCGGTTCTTGAGAAGAAGTCGAAAATGTGAAAAGTTTACAGACAGACGGACAGACGGACGGACGGACGGACAGGCAGACAGGCAGACGGACGCCGGACAAAATGTGATCAGAAAAGCTCACTTGAGCCTTCGGCTCAGGTGAGCTAAAAAGCCGGAGTAAAATGAAATTTTGATAAAATATCTTCAATCATTATTATATCACAATACGAATAGCTCCAAAACCTACTTTCATAATAAATCTTTGATGACAAGGTGATGAGAGTGGGTGGGCTTTATTTACAATTAAATTTATTTAACTATAGAGGAAATGAAAACGTTTAAAAATTAAAACGTGGTAGTAGTCAAGATAGTCACCATTGTCAGGTAAATTATATATTTCATCGAATTTGAATATAAAGAGATCTTACGCATGTCTGTATAGATTTCCCGCGTTGATGTCTAAGAGCAGCTATATATCCTTTGACGTCAATCGTCTGCTCAGCAGCGCCCTCTTCCAGGAGATAATCAAGGGCGATAAATGTCCCTGTTCTACCAATCCCTGCGCTGCAATAAAAAAGCGCGTGTTATTTTCAGTAAGACTCTTCGAATGATTTATTAACAGTATTCATATGACAATATACAATCAATCAATCATATGACAACAAACATGTACTTACAGTAGTAAAAGTATTGCATAGGTTACTTTAATAAAATTCATGATTTAATGAAATGAAATAATTAAATGATTTAATTTAGAAATTTGTACATTTTAAACTTCTATTAAAAATATCTGCATTTCAAACTTTTTAATTATTTGAAAGAAATATGTAAATACATGTACATGTATGTTTATTTTCTAATACTGTGTGACAATTTCAATCACGTTCACGAGCTCGCTACTTGATATGTCAAGTACCGTGTATGAATGTCAAGCAGTGAATCCAGACTTTGAGTACGATGTAACCAAATACACCAAACTTACTAAAATGCACAAAACAAGGAAATGAATGAAAATACTTGCTACTAAAAACTTCCAAGATACAAACATTTTTCTCAAAAGTTCTAGTTCCTATTCGATATTTTGAATAATCAGATATAGAATAATAGACACTTATTATGCGTCTGGAAACTGCCAGTATTAGGTATAAATATTAATGTTTTTATATTTAAAAAAATATAGCGTTTACGTTGCTCATTATCGCTATTTAGACGATGACTTATTAATTGTGGAATCAAATGAAAATTGCGCAGCATACATCTGGTATTTCAATTTTATATTTGGCAGGGAATTTGGTTTCTGGTTACTTTTTTAAAGATATATGAGAATCATATTCTAGTTTGTCTGGTATGACTCGGTCATTAAATGACAGCTGAAAGTTGGATAATTCCAAAACGGTTTCGCTCATTATACAAATTTTCACTAATTTCTAACCATCATTAATGACCAAATATAGAAAACAAACTAGACAGTGCTTATACAAGCATTCCATAATCATTTGCACAAGGTTAAAATGTCTCTAAACTGCTTCAATATCGAGACAATATAATAAAAAAAAAATGATGTTACAATCTCTGTTAATATAAAAACTATGATTTCCAAAATTTAAGCTGTAGTGATTTCCTTTACAATAACATTATATCAAGTCTTTATTCGGCATATTTATTACCAATCAACATGTTATAAATCTTATTTTATACTAATTGAGAACGTATAAATCTATCACAACAGAGGGCTTGCGAAGTTTTGTCTGGTCGACAAGAGGTCTTTGCTCCACTTCCGCTATTTACAAATTTTCTGATAAGTGTTCCTCTAATCGTGACCTGTATTTGATCTACACTGGATACCCAATATTGAGCATTGTTATATCTCAACCTTTTATGTTTTATACATTTCCATGTATTTACCTGCAGTGAACAACAATTGGTCCGTCTGATGACATCATACCATTCTTAACTAAATTCCGGAAGCAGATGAGTGACGTCAACTCCTCTGGAACAGAGTTGTCGGGCCACGTGGTGAAATGAAACTGTGTCACTCTTTTTTCTTCTTCCTGACCAATTAGAGAAGAACATTGGGGTAAAATACAGAACTGCTGTGTAGAATGTAATATATTTAGATAACAAACAAACAATATACAAGCTCAGAAATCCATAAAACAATACAAAAAAGGAGCATGACAACACGAACTTTCAAATTATTATTCAATTAATTTTTAGACTTTGTACACTTCAATTTATATTCCAATCGGAGGTAGATGTTTTGATTCCATTATGTATTGGAGTCACTCCAAAGAAACAGATGAACTCAAACTTTATAATTTTAATTTTTAAGTTCATAACAAGGACTTTGCTGATATACATAATGATATTTCCATAAAACGAATATATATCTAAAAACTCAATTAACCTTAATGTTTTTTTAATATGAATTCAAATCATCCCCTTCCTTCAAATAAAGTACCATTTTCACATTGCAAACGTTCATGCGGACATAAACCCCCTCAAAAATATATTCTCAAAATGATAAGTCATTAATGTCAAGCTATAGACACTACATATAACTCATTTTTTTTTTAGGCTTTTGAATGATACAAGACAATATTGTTAATATGCAGCTAACCTGACAATAAACGATCAAATAGCGCAAGATGTAGTTGTCATACACATCCACTGTGTCCAGTCTAATGGTGTATGGACCAATGTCCAGATCTGTGTCAGGCCAGTACTTCAGACACTTCATCTAAAAAGAGGAAGTAAAATGCAAACCGCATTATAATCTTTCCTAAAAGTTTAAACGTTAAAATGCCATTTTATGTCAACGAAATCATACACATTTATATTAGGACCATGCATTTCATGCCTTCTGACTAATAAGAAAGAACATACAGATACATTACAAAAACATTTTCTATATGCATATTTAACTTTTTCTCTCATACTTTTAAGCTAAACAGAGGGTTTGTTATTGTATGTATCAGTTTTATATAATAATAATTAAGGACCTTATCTCCTTCGTACAGACTGGTCAGCATAACAATTCTCGTTGAGTCGTTCTGCCATATTACGGTCCAGAAATCCTCTAATGTTTTGGGATTGAAAGGACCTGTTGCATTAAAAATAAATATGAATCATTCATCATTAAAATTTACATGTGTACTTAATCAATTATCAGTTGCCAATACTTGAGTAACATGCCTGTTACACAGGATGCTATCAAAATTCATAATATTTTTTCAAAATAGATAAATTTTCTAAAAGTAATTAAATTTCTCTGTAGTTTAGCAATATATATAAACTTTGAGGAAATTAAACTTTGTTTTCAAAAATAAAACGGTGAACCTTGTGCAGCTATGTAAGCACGTTCTTTGACGAAACCCTAAAACAAGTAAATATGCTATATATAACAACAAGAATCGAAATATATACTTCCGTAGGAAAATTACAAGACAGATATGTGACACAGAAACATATCTGAAGAGTTTAATTTACACTGACATGAATGTATGAAGCATTAACAAAATCATCGTCTTTATTATCTTCTGTTCTGATTAACTTTACACGATTATAGTCATCTGAAAAAAAAATAAAGTAAGATAAAACTTGTTAAACGGATTGAAATTGTTCACGCAGACCATTTATTGTATGCAAATGTATAATGAATCACGTTTTCTTATTCGCAAAAACAAATGTTATTCTGAAGTAAAATTCAAAGACTAAACTCACAGGGATAAATTTCTTTGTATCTGTTACCGCTCCTGTTTGAAATCTTAAGTGCGTTTGAGTAGGATTCTAGCAGTCCACTTGGAAGGTCCTATGATAAAAAAGAACTATAATATCTTTCTTTCTTTATTAGATATTGACTCAATGTTTTTATATTTGCTTCAGAACGTAAATGTCACCCCATAGTGTAACGACAATAGATTTCGGTATTGCTTTAATTACAATTCTAAATATAGTATTAATTGTCATGTTTAGCTGCTGGAAGAAAAAGTCTCTCTGTTACAGTTTTTACATAATAAAACCAAGTGCCTGTGCGACGACAAAAAGTGACCCCCGTAGAATATTGACCAGAGGGTCAAATTTCTACGTACAAAAATGACCCCCTGTTAATATTCTACGGGGGTCATTTTTTCGTCGTTTCACCTCTCCTGCATTATTTTATTTAATAAAATTCTTAAACTGTAACTTAATATATATGATAAACTGATAAGACTGATATTGCCACATACATTAAATTCCTTTTGTAGTGTACCATTGCGTTTTCTCTCCGGGAACTCCTCGATAAACTGCTCTTTTGAAACCCTTTGTGACGTCAAATTACTGTATTCTACGACAATAACTTCTTCTTCTGCATATCCAGCCTCGTTTTGAGGGATCTCCTCTAACTCTGACTCATTTTTCGACTCCGATCTTGGAAGATTCTTTGGAGGGGGACATTTCTTATCTTTTTTTGACCTTAGATTATTCCACCTTTAACATAAAAAAAAATTAAGCTTGAAATTCTATTTTATTTCTTTTCATTGTAAAATATATATTATCAAAACAGTAATTTGATCTGAAGGGTCCTATGTTGCAACCACTATTGAAACAACGACCACTATTGAAATAATCATATCAATAGTGGATAAGATTGCATTTCAATAGCGAACATAGTTAGTAACCACTATTGAAATACGACCACTATTGAAATGATTATATCAATAGTGGTTAAGAGTGCATTTCAATAGCATACATAGTTAGTAACCACTATTGAAATATGACCACTATTGAAATAATTATATCAATAGTGGCTGAGAGTGCAATTCAAGAACAGACAAAATTAGTAAACACTATTGAAATACGACCACTATTGAAATAATTGTATTTCTATATAATTACCATAGGTTTCAACCACTATTAAAATATGAGCACTACTGAAATAATTATTTGATAGTGGGTGAGAGTGCAGATCTATATAATAACCATAGGTTTCAACCACTATTGAAATACGAGCACTACTGAAATAACTATTTAATAGTTGGTGAGAGTGCATTTCAATATAATAACCATAGGTTTCAACCACTATTGAAATACTACCACTAAAGAAAGAAAAGTTTCACCACGTCAGCAATGTTTAAAATAATTATTTCAATATATATTGGATTCATTATTCAAAGCACTATTGAAATAAATAATTTTATCTATATTGAAATCTTTATTTCTAAGGTGAACATTATTTCACTAGTGGTTGCAACCTACGTTTGTTATTGAAATGAATCTCACCCACTATCGAGATAATCATTTCAATAGTAGTCGTATTTCAATAGTGTTTACTATCTATGTTTGTTATTGAAATGCACTCTCAACCACTATTGAAATAATTATTTCAATAGTGGTCGTATTTCAATAGTGGTTATTACCTATGTTTGTTACTGACATGCATCTCAACCACTAATGAAATGAATAAATCAATGGTGGTTATTACCTATGTTTGTTATAGAAATGGAAATGCACTCTCAACCACTATTGATATAATTATTTCAATAGTGGTTGTATTTCAATAGTAGTTATTACCTATGTTTATTATTGAAATGCACTCTCAACCACTATTGATATAATTATTTCAATAGCGGTTGTATTTCAATAGTGGTTATTACCTATGTTTATTATTGAAATGCACTCTCAACCACTATTGATATAATTATTTCAATAGTGGTTGTATTTCAATAGTAGTTATTACCTATGTTTATTATTGAAATGCACTCTCAACCACTATTGATATAATTATTTCAATAGTGGTTGTATTTCAATAGTAGTTATTACCTATGTTTATTATTGAAATGCACTCTTGATATAATTATTTCAATAGTGGTCGTTATTTCAATAGCGGTTGCAACAGTCCTATCACGTTGAGTTGACAGGTATGGATCAGAGGATCAATGGAGATGAAAAGCGTCTAGTTTAATGTGATGATCCGTGCCTGACAAGGAGACATGATACGACCCTTCGGTTCAAGTATCAGTTGTAGGCCTAATGATAATTTTTATATACCCCCTAACCACTTGCAAAATATATTAAAAAAAACTTAAGAGATGGAGAATATTATATCTGTCAATTTTACAAAGCATATTGTCAGGAAACATTTAGATGCGCAAAAAACGTTACTTTTCTGTGAACTACGTCATCAGTTTCAGATATTGGTGATATAGATTCAGAAATCTACAGTGCGGTTATCCGGAAAGTGGAATCACTACATCATGTGATTGTGTAAACACAACAGTAAAATTGAGTGTTACACAGGTAGGTATATGATATTAATATAGTCTTTTGATAAGGTCGACCCATAGATATATCGATTATAGGGAAATGCTTATCGAGCGAGCTCGACGTGCGAAGTCAATAATTATGCGTTTCTTTGAAGTCGATATATATATATATATATATATATATATATATATATATATATATATATATATATATATTAGTGTTGGCAACGAGTACCCGGTTAACCGGTTAACCGTCGAACGATGCGAGTATCGGTTAGTAAAACTGCTAATCGGTTACTCGGATAAAAATGCATTTTTCATAGTAAATACGTAAAAAAAAAATTATTTTTTGTTATTTGTAAATGTATATTGACACATTTCCCTAATTTAATTACCGTTGGGCTTGCTCTAGTGGTTCACAAATCGGATCGATTTGTTTTGATTAGTTTAATTGATGACTTTAATTGCCAGGGGGTACACGTTTTGAAGACCTGAGTTATAAATACATCTGTACCTCATTTAGACCTGTGTTAGCCAGAGGAACATACTTAACAAGATGCCGCCGCAAACATCTAAAGTGTGGAAATATTGTTTACGAACGACTGACTCGAAATCTCTGTGAATCGGAGTTGTCGTATACGGGCGGAACTACAAATATGCTAAATCACATAAGATTGAAAAATAATTCGATAACCAGCTGTGACTAGCATGAAACTCAACAAATATAACCAGTAATTACAAAGTGTTACAGGGTATATTAATTCTCGATCCCGACACATATCTTCGGGTGTCGATAAAATCATTTCTTAAACAAAAACAAATTCCCCGTTTCAAGTGACATTTAAAATCAAAATTCTTCGAAGATATTCTGTTTTTGGAGTTTGTATTTGTAAATAAAGTTCATATATGTAACATTTATTATTTCCTTCTATCAATATGTAAAAGGCTGAGATCAATAATAAATACGGAAACTACAACAAAAATTCATCCGAGTAACCGGGTACTCGATCGGAAGATTAAGCGAGTAACCGGTTAATAAAAATCGTCCGATTTGCCAACACTAATATATATATATATATATATATATATATATATATATATATATATATATATATATATATATATATATATACATACAGACCCTGAGACGTGCTACTACCCCAAAAAAGCGTGTGGCTTTCGTGTGTTTTCCGTTTCGCGCAAACCGTGTAGCGTTTCGTGTAAACCGTGCAGCGTTTCGTGCAAACCGTGTAGCGTTTCGTGTAAACCGTGCAGCGTTTCGTGTAAGCTCCAAAGCGTTTCGTGCAAACCGTGTAGCGAGCGTGCGAAAAGCGTGTGAGAAACGTGCGACTTTCGTGTAAGAACCGTGTGAGAAACGTGCGACATTCGTGCAAGAATCGTGTAAGATTCATTCGGAAGTCAAATGGCTATCGATGGGTCAGGATGTAAAATTCTATTAGTATTTTATAATTGAATTAAAATTATTGGAGTAAAAATAAAAAAGAAAATGGAACAACAAAATTAAATTAAACGGTAATGTATGATTTATATTTGTTTGATTTCTTTTCCTTCTATAGAAAATGTGTTCAAATAAATCAGCTATGTACAACAATTTTAAGGGCATTGTATTCAATATACTACATGTATCAACGCGATCGTGGCCTCTTAAACATTTTTTTTCTCAAAGAAAGAAAGAAATACCGGTAATATTCTTTTTTTTTTTAATTTAAATTAAAAATATATCAGGACTCCGCTCTTGTCTTTACATTTGAAACGATGCGTCATTTAATATCTTTTAATACATACAGACCCTGAGACGTGCTACTACCCCACACGCTCGCTGCACGAACGGTACACGAACGCTACACGGTTTGCACGAAACGCTGCACGGTTTACACGAAACGCTACACGGTTTTCACGAAACGCTACACGGTTTACACGAAACGCTTTGCACGAAAGGCTGCACGGTTTACACGAAAGGCTGCACGAAACGCTTTGTACACGTTTCTCACACGCTTTGTACACGATTCTCGCACGTTTTGGCCTCGGTTTGGATTTTCTACTCGGAATATCTCAGACATTATTGCGGTTTTATCATTAATTACCGAGTATATGGAAATCTTTCGCAAAGCCACATTTAGCAGTTGTAAAATTTGATATCAGTACACTTGTGTCATATAAACAGATAGAAATATTAAATACTCTTACAGTTGTAATTAATTAATAAATAATTGCCATTTCGTATTTATTTATTTATCCAAATGTTAAAAAACGAAATGCCGATATCATGAATGACTGTTTGCTAAAATACAATTTTTATGTATTAGTCATTTATTCATTTTTCTTGCATTTAAATAGTTTAATAAATTATACAAAAAATCGATTTCTTACTGAAGGAATATGAACTCATTGATTTTAAATACATTTAGTATTGATTATATTGTGCTTGATTTCCGTAGGCGGATTATTTTTCTTGATTTTGATTTAGTTATAAAATTTTCCTGTATACTCTTCTAACGATTATTGATCCATTTTTAAAGATTTTTTTTTAATCTTACCTTTAAGCATTATCTATAGCAGGGAAACCAGTAAAGGTGTGTGTGTGGGGGGGGGGGGGGTAAATGTGATGTCTTAATCTATTTTTATTCTCTTTCTCTTTTTACATGAGGCTTATCAAATAACATCGGTATACTCATCATACTGTAAAATCCTTCATTTCAAAACCCGACTAGACGTATGTATATATGTGTACAGTAATTAAAAGTCGCGGCATTTGACTATACATTGTACATACAATGTAGAATGATCTTTACATCGGCTTTCAGGTATATTACATGTACGTGATTTATAAAACAAATAATATACAAATATTCATGATTTACTCTTGAACTTTTCTTACAAGATATTCATGAAAAGACTATCAAATCAGTTCTGTTTATTTTTACTGTTTACGGCTAGAAATTCGGATTTACAAATAAAAGATGAAATCCGCTTATATATAAGTTGTATCCATTAAATATTTATAGAACTATTTTCTTTCAAAGAAATAAAAAAAGTCATAATTTTCAGGTGTCAGTAAGTGAACTCAACATGTACATATATCAGAACAGGTTTTCAGTTGCCATGTACTCGGAGCCCGTGATCGCTGTTGTAAATTACCTTGATCACAGTTCAAAGGCGGAAAGAAGATTCCAATATATTTTTAAGGGATTTATCTACGCACTCATTTAACAAAAGATTTTTTAAAAAAAATATAAAATGAAGCATTTATTTAAACTAACATTAGACTGAAAGTTACAAGAAATGAAAGACTGTACTAGTAATTAAATTTACCCCCCCCCCCCTCCTCCGTTTCTAAACATGCGCTTGTCAGTGCATGTAAATTCAAATTATAATCCATTTATTTGACAATAATGAGCAACAAATTTTATGTATTAAATGGTATTAAATGATACATTATTTCAAAACTTTCTTTTGCGTACTTAAAATGTAAATACAAGAGCCGAGTTAAGATATATTTTTGCTTTAAATAAAAAAATAATACCTGTATTTCTTTCTTTTTTGAGAAAAAAAATATTTAAGAGGGCATGATCGCGTTGATAGTATATGGAATTCAATGCCCTTTAAATTATTGTATATAGTTGATTAATTTGAACACATTTTCTTTAGAAGAAAAAGAAAACAAACAAATATATACTTTATACATTACCGTGTAATTTCATTTTGTTGTTCCATGTTTTTGTTTTTACTCTTAAAATATCACAAGCATAACTAATTCAATTATAAAATACTAATACAATTTGACATCCTGACCCATCGATAGCCATATTTAAAATGAAATGACTTCCGAATGAATCTTGCACGAAAGTCACACGTTTCTCACACGGTTCTTACACGAAAGTCGCACGTTTCTCACACGTTTCTCGCACGCTCGCTACACGGTTTGCACGAAACGCTTTGGAGCTTACACGAAACGCTGCACGGTTTACACGAAACGCTACACGGTTTGCACGAAACGCTGCACGGTTTACACGAAACGCTACACGGTTTGCACGAAACGGAAAGCGCACGAAAGTTACACGCTTTTTTGGGGTAGTAGCACGTCTCAGGGTCTGTAAAACTTGTTGCTCATTATTGTCAAAAAATGGATTTTATAATTTTAATTCACGTGCACTGACGACCATATCTTTATAAACGAGGGGGGTGGGTGTTAAATTAAATTACTAGACAGTTCAGTCTTTAATTTTTTGTTGTAGCTTTCAATCTAATGTTAGTTTAATAAAATGCTTTATTTTCTATTCTTGTTTAAATTCGTTATCAAATGTATGCGCAGATATAACCGTACATGTTGAGTTCACGGCTTAATGACATCTGGAAATTACGACTGGATTTTTAAAAAATAAAATAGTTATATAACTATTTGATGGGAACAACTTATAAATCAGCGGATTTCATCTTTTATTTGTAAATCCGATTTTCTAGCCGTAAACAGTAAAACAGGTAGGCTTTATATGAATATCATGTAAGAAAAGCTTAGGAGTAATTCATGAATAAATGTATATTATTTGTTTAATAAATCACGTACTTTTTATTTCATCTAAGATATTTCAGTTTTCTTGTAATATACCTGAATGTCGGTATAAAGATTGATCTATATTGTATGTACAATGTATGGTCAAATACCGCGACTATTAAAAAATGTACACATACAAACATACTTTTAGTCTTGTTTTGAAATGAAGGATTTTACAGTATGATGGGTATACTGATGTAATTTGATAAGTTTCATGTAGAAAGAGAATAGAATAGATTAATAGATCACATTAACCCCCCCCCCTTTATGCCCTTTACCGGTTTCCCTCCTATTGATAATGCTTGCGTAAAAAAAAATCTTTAAAAATGTTTCAATAATCGTTAGTAGAGTATATAGGCAAATTTAATTTATAATTTAAAATCAAAATAAAAAAATAATAATCCGCCTACGGAAATCAAACACATGCAATATAATCAATATTATTAAATATCAATGAGTTTATATTCCTGCGGTGAGAAATCGAATTTGTGTTCAACTTATTAAATCAATTTATCAAATTATACTCGTAAAAATATTACATTGAAATGAATGACTAATACCTGTATATGAAAATTGTATTTTATTAAACTGTCATTTGCGATATCGGCATTTCGTTTTTAAACAATTGGATAAATAAATAAATAAATTCGAACTGACAATTATTTATCAATTAATTACAACTGTCAGAGTATTGAATATTTCTATCGGTTTTTATAATATAAGTGTACTAAATTTAATTTAAACAGATGCTTAATGTGGTTTTTGAGCGATTTTCATTCAATTAATGATAAAGAGGTAAAAATGCCCGAGATATTCCGAGTAGAAAATTCCAAACCGAGGCCAAACCGTGCGAGGATCGTGCACAAAGCGTGTGAGAAACGTGTACAAAGCGTTTCGTGCAGCCTTTCGTGTAAACCGTGCAGCCTTTCGTGCAAAGCGTTTCGTGTAAACCGTGCAGCGTTTCGTGCAAACCGTGTAGCGTTTCGTGTAAACCGTGCAGCGTTTCGTGCAAACCGTGTAGCGTTCGTGTACCGTTCGTGCAGCGAGCGTGTGGGGTAGTAGCACGTCTCAGGGTCTGTATATATATATATATATATATATATATATATATATATATATATATATATATATATATATATATATATATGGATTTACCAAACGAAAGGGCTACATTTGTTATATTATTTTATGCAGTTTAAAGTAATGGGAACAAACAAGAAATTACATGTATCTCTGTTGTCAGTTTTAATACTTAGAGACAGAGATCAAAATAAATTAATTTTAATGTAATTATGATAACTATAATCTACCAATAGAAGTATTTGGAAAAATCACTAAATAAATTTTAAAGGGTTCTTTTTAAACCTATATTTTGTAGTGATTCATTTTGGGAAAATAACCACACAACATTATATTTTATGATAAAGTAGATCATTATTAAAGGCATACATGTAGTTATGTCTTACTAATCATTACAGAACAAAATTATAAACAAGAGTTGAAGTATGATTTTTTCAGAAACATCAAGTCGTAAACTGTATTAGCTGTTTCAAATTCAGCAATACTGTTGTTTTAGAAAATTATTTCATCATCAAATTTAGAAACATCAAGTCAATTTGTATTTCATAATAGATATATAATAAGTAAATCAAGTCAATATGCTATTATATACTTTGATCATATGATCAAGTTTAAGCAATCAGGGATCTTGGAGTAAATGAGAAATATAATATTAATATATATCAAATTAAGAATTTACCTTGATACGAAAAGAATTACGACAACCACTAGTAATAAAACAACCACTGCACTCAGTGTCACCAACAGGATTGGGAATTGATTTTGGTCTCCTTCATTATTGTCATCTGATGAAAAAGCATCTGTTTTGTTTATACGTAAGAGTCCATATATACGTCGATGGTATGACACGTTTGACAGTGTGGGAAAAACAACTTTTATGACGTCACAATATGAAACTCGCAATACTTACATGTACATTGTTTTACGGATTTCAATCCCCTCATAATGATAAATTTGCAATGATGTTACACACCATTGAAATATATGTTAAGTTTAGTTTTTGCAAATTATTTGGCTGACTGGCGTACATTATCTGATGATTTAATGAAGTACTACACATTCTTTTAGTGCAAAATAAGGGTAAGTGACGCACCCACTTACAAAACATAATTAAATAATTCTTGCACACTTTTTCAACTAATTTGGGTATGAAAGCCTAATCATACACTCTACAAAAGCCCGCGTGGCGCAGTGGTTAGAGCGTCTGCTCTAGAGTCGCGAAGTAAGGAGTCAATCCTTATGTCGCGGGTTCGAATCCCACTGTGGGACGTGGAGACCGGTCCTTCGGATGAGACCGTATAAACCGAGGTCCCGTGTCGCAGTAGGTGCTGGCACAAAAAAGAACCCTCCCTGCTCAATGGCCCTGAGTGCCGAGTATAGGACAAAATTTGTAGCTCTCCACCGGCAACTGGTGATGTCTCCATGTGAGTGAAAAATTCTCGAGCGGGACATTTAACAATATACAATCAATCAATCACTCTACAAAACATTAGAAATATCTTTCCATCTTTTCAAAAATTAAGGATTGGTGTATTCATTCTTATAAGGGACAGGGGTATTTAATATCTAAATATTCTCTCAATATTCAAGTCTCATATTTAAAAAAAAGAATTTCAATACCGAGGCATCCCCATTTTTTTCTTTGTTATTCGTATTGTTTGAGATAATGATATAGAATGTGTATACCTATGTAAACATCCATCACAACAGTACGAGGCTTGTTCCGCTCAGAATCTGTGTTGATGGTCACCACTTCAGTTTTGTTATCTACAGAAAACAATGTTTATGATTGAACAAATCACCTTTAAGCAATCAAAACAATATAGAAGAAAAACACACATATTAGTAGCAACTGAATACAAGCAAAGCAACTCATGAATTTTGAATTGTGTGTATTAATTTAGCAAATAGCCGTACTCAGATTTTAAATTGGCAGTGCTAATCTTATTTCACATTACGTTGAATGTTTGTATCTATAACACATAATATATCAGAAACAATACACTATCTTGAACAAAAAAAATATGCAACAAGAAATGACTAAAAGATCATTATTGTTAAAAGGTTAGATTAATAAATAGATATTTACAGGTGGTCGTGATTTGGAAATCACAGTATTTTCCAGTGTAACCTTCTCTACAACTATGACAACGTCCGGTTTGTTGGTCACATTTCATCACAGTGCAGGTTAATGGACATTGATGTTGACAATAATCACCATACAAAGATCCTCTGCACTGGTTGCATACCCCAGATATAGGGTTACAGGAAACACATGTCTTCCTACATTTAGCACAGTTTATTCCAAAGTGATTTGCAGGACAAACTACAATCAAAATTTCAAAAGTATTACATACATTATTTCAAAGAGAGGATATAACTGAATGAAGTTTTGTATCAGTAAAAAGGGATTTCTGATCAAAATGTGTGTTAAAATTTCAAGCTGACATTTAACAATTTTTAAATGTGCATTTAACAGCTTTAACAATGAAGAAAATTTGGTTACTGGATGAAACAAGATCACATAGTATTTATTATTGTCAAAATTACAAATAATTACTTATAGGATGCACTTCAAACAGCCACAATGGACCCTCGTTGATTCTCCTGATTACAACAGAGTTCCCTTCCACTTTTTTAAAACACTCTACTATAATGTGGTATTTTGTTGCTGCATTATCAAACTTCAGTTTTTTGCAAAGGGTCGACGTATTTAGATGCCGTAAAGTTTTAGATATGTGCACTTCATATTCTCCTTATTGATGTAAAATACAAAAATAATAATAAGGTCGTACCAAAATATCTTTTGATATATTATTTTTACAAACTGGATAGATTTTAGCCTAAATAACTTACCTCCTCTGATAAGAAGAAGTATCCATTTGATTTCGTAACTAGTGTTCAGCATCATATACCATGCTGCATTGTTCCTTTCTTCAGTCACAAAGTTGGTGTTCAGATCAGCGTCTAAAGCCTTTTTGCCTTCAATGCCACCAGTGTGGCTCTTTAGCGGGATCATCCAAGGTTCAAATACTAATTTTTAAGAAAAGAAAAGAGACTGTTTCACTCTCAATGTTAGATTACAATTTATAAAGCAGTTGTAAAACATTGCTTTATGATTCATACTTATTGGTTTTATTTCATCAATTTGTATTGCGCCATCGTCAAGCCTTGTGATGATTATTTTGTTTCCTACAACAGGTCCATAGGAATCGAGTTTGCAAGTGACAATCTCACTTTTGGTAGTTGTTTCGCACGTTCTCACAATCTGCGAACAATGTTGGGGTTTATGGGTGTCGTACTGTATATGGATATCATATTTTCCTGTAGAAAAAAAATCTAATTTAAACGTACCCGGTAATATTTAAATGTATGCCCAATCCCTCAGATATCAAACATATTATACACTTATCCACTGGGTGTGAGTGGGATAGCTCTTTTATCAAACCCGCGAGAGAGAACTATTCCCCGATGTTTGAATTTTTTTGGAATAAGATTATTTTGCAAGAATAATATGAAATCCTGATGACGTCACAATGCTACTGAAGTCACAATGACATCATCAGTTTAAAGATTTATCGCTGGAAATCAAAATTAGCGGCAACAACTGCATGAAAATTTTCCGAGGGTAGACAGCAAAAAACTATGCGTGAACTATTAAAGATAGTTATTTTACCTTCTGAACTTTATATAGGAAACATTTTAATTAACAGAAGTATGATAAAAAATCTAATCTAAAAAGGAGTTAATTATTATTAATTATGATTTGAAATCAAACTTTGATTTAGGGCACAGAAAATGTTTAACACAGATCATTTTCAGCATACCACAACTAATGCTCAGGAAAATCCAGAATATTGTATAATGTCTTTCAAGTGTCAATGACCAGCTCGTATTTACGTCATCCCTGGTCAGAGAAAATGTGTCCATGTCGTCATCACATGCGAAATGTGCAGAATGGGATCCATTTGTAGACGACTGCTGTGCCTCATATTTTATATCCTGAGTATTACCTTTGAAACAATCCAAACACTTTGAATAAAAATTACCATTTATATGCCAAATTTTATGAACTTAGATAAAATGAATGTTAATTCAAGACTTAATTGCCTTATAAACCTATTCAGCTTTTTTGAATTTTTTTTTTTTTGACATTTGTTTTTATAATAACAAAAAATAGAAAGAGTAAATACGTACCTTTTGTGAAATTTTCAAATAAAAATAAAGATGTGCATAAGTACACCACGAGATTGAGGACCTTTAAAACTGATGGCATTATATAGATATTTTTCTACATGAGGATCAACATAAAACGTGCCATCAGTTCAAAGTATTTTTATTTACTGTCAGTGTTTCCGTATGTGCACAGGGTTTCACACAGAAAGTGCCTCATCTATGAGCGAATGATAAATTTATACGGAAGATTATGACTTTGAATCAGTTTTGCTAATTTTCATGCATATTTTTAAGTACACAATTCCTGTTTATATACACCTGCATCTACACTACATTATTTTTTCATGTTTCCTACAATATTCCAAGAAAGCTATAAAGAAAGGAAAAGCAATATAATGAAATATTTAGTGTTAATGTACATAATAAATCAAAGTCAGAAAACATGTTCCTTAAGGTCGCTGATATATACATGTATTTTTTCCAAATATTTGTCATTTAAAAATTGTTACTCTTACAAGTTTCCACATAGAAAATAAAGTACCTAATAGACTTTAATGCATGATGTCAGAGGAGGAAATTTAGTATATTATATCGAACGTTTAAATCAATATCATGACCAGTACATAAATCCGGTTAGCTTTATATATATCTAAGGTATTTTGACTACAGCTTAAAAGCCATAAGATGATGAATGTCATGATTAATTTGCCATTTACTTTGGTGAGATACTAAACAGATATCTAAGTAGAGGGTCGTCAGACTCTAAACCTTTATTAGAATAGAGTACAACGTAATTTATTGTAAGGAAAATGCAGAGAGAAAGTTTGATCTGATTTTTACAATTCCATTGCATGCATATGAAGTATTCAAAAAACTCAATTGATGGGAGTCATGTTTTCAATACGAGACAATGTTTTATTTTACAAATAATTGATAAATTCGTAGAGTTTGATCTTCTACCACATATTCACGATTCAACGGTGATGTGTGGTTTTCGTCCGCTGACTACTTAATTTTAACTTGATTACTGGAAAAACTGAACAAAATTGAAAAAGAAAGGAAATCAAAAGAAAGCGCTGAATAAAATAAACCATATGTATTAAAACATTACATAAAAATTAAAATTATTAGCTGGAGCATTATTAATGTCTTGCACTTTAATACCCGTATTTTCCCACTATCATAGTGGTACTATTCACCTAGGATAATACGACATAAAGATCATATAAAACACAAGGTGACCAAAAGCAAATCAGACAAGTAATGTGTTCAAATCAGCGAGCATAAACATTAATACATTTTGAACAGCATTAATACAGTAAATAGATTAGTTTTTTATGGAATTTTTTTTCAGTTTGGTGTGAGTTATTGGTGTGTGAATCACACAGGCTTGTTAGGCTTGTCACACTTCATGAAGCGCTTACGCGCTTCATGAAAAATATGCCTACGTGCAAGTCTGTGAAGTTGAAGTTGTACAACCATAAAACATGATTTTATATAAGTGTACAGGCTGTACAAATAAACAATGTCTAGATAAACATTTGAAGGACTACAACCCATCTCTGTGCTTGCAATTATTTCTGTAATTAAATATTGTTAGTACATCATTCTTAAATATTCTAATTTCAAAGTGATATCTACATTCAATTTTTTCATATTAATTTTTTTTATTTTGTCTTTGTCTTTTTAATCCAAGAAAAATGTCACTAGAAATAATCAGAATCATCTTATATCCTTTATACAGATTTTTCAACATAATGCTTCTCATAAAATTTTTATCTCGTGTTATTGTTAAAAATATCCTCATCCTTTTAAACGAAATATTCGTTTTGCGTTTGTGTGTAACGATTAAATTTTTTCCAGATTTTAAATATGAGAGCAGAGGTGTCCAGTGTGACAGGAAAAGTTTTAACTGGTTTTAGTAATATTTGATACAGTTATTTTAACCTAGATTTAAAAAAGAAAGCTTTTTAAAGAGACACGGTGACGATAAACGATAAAAATCGACAAAAGGAGAAATTTTGTTTTGCACAAGTTTCAATACTTTAAAAAACCAATTTTATGGAGAAAACTGAAAAATTGAAGAATTTACCATGACTTACTTTTTTCACGTTTTCTTGCTTCACTTCACCGTTGTTTTCAAGTTTTACGCTACAAATAAACGACGCAAAAATTAAGGACGCGTATACTTGGCATTGTTGAATTTTTTGCGATTGTGCATTTGCCCAAATATATCCCGGATAGGTAATAATAAAATAAAGAAAATGTCACCTATATGTTACATATGAATGCATTCCTTTTCCTTAAAAAAAGAGGGAAAATAACATATTTCAAACTAAATCCTTGTTCGACCCGCTATCGTAGACCCCAAATAGCCCTTGTCTTAAAGTATAAAGGAAGAAATCTTTGATATTATTTTTCATATTGATTGCAGTTGTGCAGAGTCTACCGACAGTCTTAATAATGCAATCACATCAGGTGTAGTCTGCTTTCACCATCTGTCACATTTTAAAATATTTCATTTGTCGAACTTGTCGTCTGGTACGCGTAAACTTTTTGTCCAGAAACCGCCGAACGAAATTAAACAAGCTAATTCAGAGAATTTGTGTCCCCCGCTTAGGGAAAAAGTAAACCACGCGCAGTTCCTGGAGGGGGGGGTGTCGGATCCCCCTGACTTAAGTTGTAAATAATTAAATTTGTAGAATTATTAAATGTATACATGTATACTGAAGCAAATAAAATACATGTATGTCAATATGCATATGAAGATTTGTTATTCTTTATTATGTGTATAGAAGATTCTTTTTATATGGAATATTTATCACACTGTAATAATGATTTTATAACCTCATAAATTTTTCATTTCACATGCTGAATACTATCATTTAGTAAAAAAAAAGTATTTAAAAAACAAAAAAAAAAGAAAGAATCGACCGAGATTCGATCCCGGGACCTCTCACATTTGAAGCAAGAGACATGACCACTGGACCACGGAATCGCTTTATACGATGTGAAGTATATGCAGAACTGAAGTCACATACATGTATATATTCATGTTTTCATGTTCGGTATTCTCAAAATTTTACACAATCCATGGTGTTTGATTTATTTAGCCTTTATTAAACAGTTCTACCAGATGTAATAAGAACATAAAGTCCGCCGAGAACCTGTTTTATACGCAATAACTCTCCTCATGCCCCTGCGCTAAAAATAGCGACATGTAATACTATAAATACTAATAAAACAAACGGGGCGGGGCACTTTGAGAGGGGCGAGAGGCGTCCTAGGGAGTTTTGGTATAAAATTACATTGCATAAGCTCAAAATCTTCTTGAAATATCGCCCGGAAATGATATTTTTACACACAGACAGAATGTATAAATTTACGACCTTGAACTTTGACCTTTTGACCTCAAAATCAATAGGGGTCTTCATTAGGCCACAGGGAGTTGTTATATAAAATTTCATTGCAATAGCTCAAATGGTTCTAGAGATATCGTGTGGAAACGAAAGTGTTTTAACAGACAGAATTTGCTTATTTATGACCTTGACCTTTGACCTTTTGACCTCAAAATCAATAGGGGTCTTCTTCAGTCCATAGGGAGGTGCTATGCTAAATTTCATTGCAGAAGCTCAAAGGGTTCTCGAGATATCGTGTGGAAACGAAAGCGTTACAGACAGACAGAAAGACGGACGGACGGCTAGACAAACCCAAATTAATATCCCCCACTTTTCAAGCGGGGGACAAAAATCCGAATTATAATGATTAGATATATTTAATTATATATTTTTAGAATTTAAATTATTGTTACATATGTACTTTTGGATAAAAGACAATGTTACAGGTATCTTTGTTACATTTTTTAGTGATTTTACATTAAAAATGTAGGTCATGGGAATATTCCGGAAATGCAAAGTGTTTAAATTTAAGTATGAGCACACAAAACGCGATTGACGAAATAGGTTTTTTCGGCTAGTCATAGCAATTGCTTTGACATATACAAATATGATCCATCGCGTTGACTGTGCTCATATCAAAATATGTACATATGTGCATAAAAATTCATAGTTTTTTGCCAGAAATTGAAATCCGGGTAAAGTTTGGAATTTATAATTTTGATATGTGACGTTTTGGCGTCATTTCCCATGCATGTTTTAAGCAAGGGGGTTGTCTCAAAATAACTTCGAAGGATAAAGACAGATTGGCTGATACTTCAATTTTCTTAATTTTCCTAGGCCAAAATACTATTTTAAGTGTATTTTGTTCTTTGAAAGCCCTATCTCTTCTCCACCAAGAGTTATAAGGAAAGATAACATTAGTGAATATAAAAGTAGGTTTAACTTCAAGGTCATGGAGTCAATAATAATAGTATATTTAGAAAGGTCTTGTCACAAATAATATATTATAATATTATGTTTAATGTGAAAGTCCTACTTTTCGTTTTCTCTTTTAAGGACAGAATATATATAAAATATATTAAATTTTTTCCAAGATTTTGTCATTGAAGAATTACTACTTTAACATGTTTGCTCACAAAAAATTAATGTACCTTACCGGGCATTTGTGCAAGATACCAGATAATGGCATTTCTCATATAAATTTAGGGGGGAAAATTAGTTTGCCAAAATCAGATTTTTAGTGTCTTAAATTTTTAAAAACAATTAAAAACAGGTTTAGAAATCAGAAAGTAATTAGAATTTTGTATATTTTTCATACATAATGAGATTATACAAAACAGAAATTTGGGGTACGTATCGTCTGGCCTTAAAAGTTATGACCAATTTAGTGTATTGTTAAATACTTTAAAAGTAGGTCGAACTTCAAGGTCACGGGTTCAATAAACATAGCATAACTAGAAAAGTCATATCACAGAAAATGTACTTGTGAAATATGAATATCTCTTATCATTTTAAGTTTATTTCTAAGATTATAAAGTTTTTGTAACAGAAGGACAGACTACCAAATGCAATTATGTGTCCCCTCCCTTTCGCAAAAGCGGGGGACAAAAAGACGTTTGTTCCAATACTGTTTCAGATTGAAATCGTTTGTAAATGTATTTTTTTTTAAGATATGTAATAATAATAATAAATATCATAACTAAAGCATTTGAAATTGCCACTTTTAAGAAATGTAAACCTCATCTTTTCTAATGAAGATAACATTTTATGCAACATACTTCAAAGATTACATTAACGTTATTATAAATTCAAATTCTCCACGCAGTATCGTTAAGGTAGGATTCTTCTCTGGTTGCTGACTAGATGAAATATTCAAAGTATATGTATATATGCGTTTATGTCTTTTATATTTAGGTGTAAGGGATTCAAAAGGCCATATTCTTCTTTCCTCATCACAATTGTACAACTTTACATAGAAATGGTACATTGCGTTTGAAAACTAGAAGGAACTATATTGTTGGCGGAATGGTGACGTACGTATGAAAATATTTTCTTTTCTGCCTCTCATAATTATTTTAGAACAATAAATTAAATTTACATTTTTACGCAACCAAAGACTTGAAGAAATTTTCAAATGTAAGTAAAATTAATAATGATGGAAAGAAGTTTCAAAATATATCAAATAAATATGATTTTTCAATCAAACTAGAACTATGTTAGCTTTTAAAAGCTTCCAATCTAAGTACAAATTTGAGCCAAAAAAAAAACCCAGTAAAAAGTGTTTTTCTCTCTTAGTAAACGATCAGCACTTTTTGTTTTTGTATCATTTTATATCTTTATGTGATTATATTACCATATGTGAAAATAATAAAAAATTAAATATATGAAGTATTTAAAAATAAGTAATATATCCTAAAAATTTAAGAAAAGTAGGGAAAATTTGGATCATTCAATATTCATTCTAGTTAAACTGTTTATATCGATTAAGTAATATCATCTTGTAGGCCCTATATGGTAGTTTCGTTTTATACAAAAGAAAAAAAATCAACCCTCTGAAATGCAAGTAGGGATCGCACGATTGGCAACAGTATTTTTTATTCTTAATGTATAGGGCAAAGGTAATGATCTTGACCTGACCTTGCCGCTAATATAAAGCGGTCAACTTTAATCTCATTGATACCATCACTTAGTGATATTGTCATTATCATTAAAATTCATTAATCTTAAAATACAAGAAATATTAGTGGAATCCTATCTTAAGTTAATTTGGGATCGTTTTCATACAGATGTCTGAAAAGAGAAATGAAAGTTTTGTATAGGAGGAATAATAAACATTAAAATTGAATACTCAGTTTTCTGTATTTTTATTTTTCAAATCAGATACATGATATACATGCATTTTTACTATCTGAAGACATCATTCCTTAGCATAACAGCAGCACCCAGGGCCACAGTCAATACAACAATCTCTTCTTAATATATTTCCTATAAATAGAGATAAGGTCCATTATTTTGTTCGAAAGATTGATATATTTTGATTTTTTCTTTACATAATCATGTTTATCTTTTTAAAGGTGTTAAAACTCATTCAAATCATCTAATAATGAGAGGGTCATAAAAACAAGCAAACTCTATAAAAAAAAATAATCAGTATTATTAGCTTCCATCGCATTATTTGCTTGTATTTTGAAACATTTCTGAGAATCCAATAAAGCATTCATTAAAACAGAAAAGTCACTGTTCGCATATCTTCTAAAAAGAGGTTGACAAAAAAAATATTGGCGTAGCGACGTTGGTCTTCATCAAAGAGTTCAGATCATAGATTCTTTGGGGTTTAACGAATTATCTTATAAACAAGAAATTTTGCAGATATTTTTCTAAATAATATGTTATGCATTATATGAATTTATGTCGTTCCTCTATGAAAAAGTCTCAATGATTGACCAACAGCCCTCGTATATGTATGTTACAATTGCGGATCTTGCAATTCGAACTGGAGCCACTGTAAACAAAACAAAATATAATCCACCTCAAACAGTAGTTATATTAGGAAACGTAAAAAACTGAAATATTGAAAAATGAAAATCTTTCCTACTAATATTTTTATGCTTTTCATATGGTGATTTTGCCAAAAACTCCGGTACCCGTACCTTTCCCTAAGAATTTTATTCGGTAATGACCAATATTTACCCCAAAAATCAAACTTTGACAGAGAAATATATAATTATGTTCTGAAATTGGGGTGTACATGCTGAATTTAAAGTACTGAATATTTTCATAAGCAATGACGTCATATGTTAGAAATGAGGTCAGGAAAATGACGATAATATAAAATTGCCATAATTTCTACAAAAAAGGGTATATATTACATGTACGTCAATATTTTGAGTAAAAGTCACTGAGTGCAGGACTGCTCAGGCTCAATATTTTGATATAATGTGAAGAATGACGATGTCAATGAAATATATAAACATTGTTCCTGGGCAGACCTCTGCTCTATAAGTTTTATAGTAAAAATTGAGCAAATTTTGTATATTTTCTCCTCTTTCTGAAAAATAATACAAAACCAGGCTAGTTTATAATTATCAGATCATAAAAACAGAAATTGTCAATAACCAATTTTGAAAATATAATATGTTTTGTTACCTTATATTTCTCATACAATTTATATTATTTAGCACGTCTCAAGAAATTTTCAAAATATGACTTTTGTGTGGGCAAAAATATGCAATATAACGCATATAATTTCTATAATATCTTATATTAGCTATTAATTATTCACAAGGGCCTTGTCCCTTAAGTTCTAATCTCAAGAAATTTTATATAAATCTCAAAACATTTTTTTTACTTCTCTTCTTTGCCTATAAAAACAAAATGATTTTTGATATACAATGTATTTCAAAAAAGTAGATGTCGGGGATAATAGAGGGTAACAGTGGTGTCCTCGTAAATCATGGATTTAATAATGTTGCGAACAATGCTTATGTGGGTTGGAGTCAGCTGTCTGCAAATGTTTTGCAGGTGATTGTTATCAAAAACTTCTCATAATGTCTAACACGTCCTTTTGGAGTGTGCTACAAGAGGTTGTTTAGACAAAAATGTCAAACGATTCTTTGACCTTTAAAAACTTTTTTATCAAGGATTTAAACAACACACGCGTCTTTATTTTGTTTAATTTTCATTTCCTATAAAGTATTTAAAAGTATGTTTCTACTGACCATTATGAGATGCTTCAAAAGAATCTGCCGTTTCCATATAGGCTGAAAAAAGCATAGATAAATTAATCATACATCATTTTTTTTTATATAAAGGTTCAACAAATTATTCAAGTGCATTATAATAAACATGCATTTTACATTTCTATGTACCACTAACAATTAACATTTTCATCTAGAATAAAGACTGTTTGATTGCACGTCTATGGTAATCTGATGTATTTAAAATAAATATTTTAATCTATTGATACAATGTTCCAAGCCTGCTGAAAAAAAAATGTTGAATTTTCTCTGAGCAAATCTTGTAAATTTATCTCATATACAGAAAACCTTAAGGTTGTGATCTTAAATACCTCCCATATGTTTTTACATTACTTCATAAATAGGTTATTTACTGTTCTAATGTTTTTGATGGAGCCTCTGATTGACATGTAGGTGAGAAACAGACATTGCAATGAATCATTCTTTACGCAATTTTTAATACTGTTAATCTTAATTTATATCTGTTTGCCTGGGGTGTCTTCATTCTCCAACTGAAAAAGTTTTTTAACATGTATGTTTGTTGTTAAAGTCCCTCTAGAATTTTTTTCACTCATGTTGGGATACCACTTGCTAGTGGAGAGATGTAAATTTTGACCTATGCTCGGCACTGGGTTTATATCGTCTAATCCGAAAGACCACTTTCCACGTCCCTCAATTCTATTTGAACCCACGACGTAAGGATCAACTGCTTACCTCACGCCTCTAGAGCAGACGCTCTAACCACTGCGTCTTGCGGGCGACTTTACTTAATAAATGTACTAACATTAAACAAACATACTCCACTTTAAGTATTTTTTTTTGTTACATTAGGAATATAAATGGAATTTTAAATTTGTTTTTGATCATCAGATACTGCGCATGAAGGATATGGAGATAACGAACAATATTCAATAGCAAAGTCAATAAAACAATATTGAATAGGATCAGGGAAAAAAGCGACCTCCAAAACATCAGAGGTGGGATCACGTGCCATGGAGGATTGAGCATCGCGTGCCGACAGGTCACAACCGCCGTGTGCATTAATTTTTTGTCTGATAAATTAAATTATCATGAATTCATTTAGTGTGCTGATGATACATATGTATCTTTATCATAACTTAGGTTTTGTTCCATTTTTCAAACTGCACTTGATTAAAACTTGAAAATGCAACTCTGCATGGAAACTTATTTCAACTGATGAACATAATTTTGTACATGTAAAAAACAAAAAAGGAATGTATATATTCTTATTATTTTTTAGTGGCAATACCATAAGGAGTTAAGATAGCTTTTCATCTGCTAACTTCAGACAAAATTTTGGTTGCCGGCGGACAACCCCACAACTGGTGTTGAAATGCAATCTATTATCGCTATGTTTTATACAATTTAGGGAATCACTGGGCTTTTTTAATAGCAGACATTGTTATAAGTAAAAGACAAATCGAATCTTAATGCGAATAAATCTGACAAGACGATACAAAACAGCCAATCGTTTTTTTGAGTTCGTTTTAAAGGGTATTCTAAAAGAACTCACAGGTTCGGGTGGTGACATTCATTACAGTGGAAAAGAAGGTGAAAGAATCAGCTAATCGATCATGCCATCACTGCTTCTTGTGAATTTGTACGCCTTCCAGAAACTGTTATGGTTAAATTGATAAAAGGCAGCGAAAAAGGCGCTTTCAACTTGATAAGCGAACTATGGGGCTAATTTTGTCGTTCACAGAAATGACTGTGTCTAGATAGAACCACTTGGATTTCAAGTTTTTTTCATTATTGTTTAGAAGGCTTTATCAGTATGAACGCCTTTGCTCAGACATCGTAATTATAACAAAAACAATTAATACATATCTATTTTGTTCTGATTATGTAACAGCTATCAGTGAGGCATCGTTAGTCATATACATGTACGCTATCAGCGGTTCAATGGTAAATATGTTGTATATGTATATCGATTTGATCAACACAAGTATATCGACACAAGTATATGTAAACCGTTTTAAAATCGGTTTACTCATGTGAGGACACAAAATAGTTTCCTATCGTTATCACAATGTCAAGTGGTATATTCATTTCATTATGTTTTCTTTCATATGATGAAAAGATCAATTTTGTCAAGAAATAAAAATTTCACTCACCAGTTCCAAAAATACCTGAAACGGGAAAAAAATAGTTCCCTAAAGGAAGCTCTAAACACTAACAGAAACTGCTTTTTAGACTTGAAGAAAGATATAATATATAAAGGTGTACATATTGAGGCAATTTCATTTATTTGTAACACAGGGTACCTGCCTTATTTCCTCAGGCAAAATATCTCAAGACAATGGACTATTTGTGAGCAGAAATCACTATTGCTTATTCACCATGGAAAAATTAATGAAAATAATGAATTCAAATACTTTTTCTTGGTCTTACATGTATGTAATACTAAAAATATTTTAATCTATTAAAAGTCATGTAATTAAATGTAAATAACATTTTTTTAAATCTTACTTCTAAGGGCAAATCACTCTAACTGCATTAAACTACACTATAAATAGAGCTTTTTAGTGTGCAGGCAGTGTTTAGAGCTTTCTCAAAGAACACATTCTTTCATTAAGGCAAACTTCCTGTGAACAACTGAAACAATGTTTTAAATCACATTTGAAAATGATGATAAAATTGATTCTTGGTTAGTTGAATTTGCTTTTTGAATTTCAATACAGATTTTGGTTGTATATGACGAATGCAATATTGAAAAAAAAACTGGGGTTTTTTTTGGTTTAATTTTTACTATGATATTAATTATAGAAATTTAACATATTCGCAAGATTTCAATATTGAATATGTAATATTTTCTAACACTAGAATCGGTACAAAAATATATTGATTTATGAAAATACATTTAACAATATTAAATTGCGGTACCTAAAATAGCAAATCATAAAATCAATGATGTATTGAAATAATGGAGTGTATCTAAGCATACGATTCTAATTTGATAATTAAGGCTTCTTTTCATTACAGAAGAAACAACATAACAAAATAATGAAGACCTTTAATTGGGTCATTCCATAAATTTATTTACTTCAAAGTAAAGCATATGGACTGCTTTTCTTTATAGTCTTTATATCTAGTGATATATGAAAAATGGCGTGAAGATACCGAATAGTAATTGATCTCAAAAACCTACAAACAACACAAATATTTCAAAAGGGCATAAAACAAGGACCACAGGATATTCCAGAGGTGGAATCATCTTATGTCTACCTGTCACACACGACTCAATGCTTACTTACAGAATAACAAAGCGAGAATCACGAAAGTCTTCATCCTGATTTCCTGAAAGATGTTAGTGTTGTTGATGAATTGCATTAAATAAATTTTCTTATGACGTTATTGATAGCTGATCATGGGCGATTAGTCAATATAGAATTGCATCCATTAATCAAATGCATCATATCAATCATTACGTATTTAATTTTTATAGTTGAATTGCGTTCTCTTTTAGAGTTTATATACTTGATTACACCTGTTACATGTAACAAATGAATGTTGTTAAAGCAAGCAATTTTAAAGATAGTATGAAAAGTTAACAACTGCATCAACTTTTAATATGTATGTTGCTAATAAAAATGATTGCTTTAAGTCTCATTTAAATTTGCACTTTATGCACCTACCTACATCACAGACACATACAATGATATTCTTCCTACTGGATTGAAAACCCCCTTTACGATTGTTGTCTTAGAAAAAAGTGTTCTGAACTTGCTTGTGTCCTATATATTGATGACACATATACATGTACAACTGTCAAAGAGTTTCCGTAGTTTTAATATCGAAAATTTCATAATCAATTGGCAATGCGATTTAAAAAAGCTGTATAAGTACGAAATTCAAGACTATTACGTTTAGTATACCATACATTGAAATGAAACAAGTGACTTAATATATATCATAAAGTATTTTAATTCTTAGAAGTTCGGTCCTCCTTTTTAAATTCCTATCAGATTCAGGATACTCAAGGCGATTACAGTTTTACCTTGGACAACTTTTGAGATGCTATAATAATGTTTCATAAATTCAACCTTGTGGATAACAGCTTCCATAAGAATCATTTTCAAATGGAGCTTGCATTATGGTAGTGATCATCCTTGGTTTGAAGATTATAAACACAAAGGAAATATTTCCCTGTTCCTAAAACAAATGATAAAAAATTACAGAGCTGTATATGTATATTTTGGACATTATAATATTCAATGTGCTTGAAGCACATAATGCATTAATGTAACAGCTGAATGTAAAATTCCAGCACAAAATGAAGGACCCCATGTGTAATCTCTCGTAAACTCATCTTCAGCCCTGTACTATCCTGTTTGTTAGTTGTTTTTTGTCTTGTCCAGTTTCAGCTGACCAATTTTCATCGTACTACTGATTTACAAGTGTATCCGATTATGACGCACATAACGTTTTAGTGTGCCGCAGGTGAATCAACCCTTTTCATATATCCTTAACATTGTCCTGCATAGTGTTTCATTGTCATGGGAAAGAAGAATGGATGGAGAGGAGTACTGAAACCAAGCCAGACCTCTTAAAATAAAATGTTTAATATCTGAAGCAATTATTTCACTGACAAGTAAGGCATTTTGTAAAATTGATCGAATTCAAAATGAAAACCGTTTCCCTTTTTCAGTGGAGGGGGATATTGGTATTTTCTTAAATTGACCTAAAACAATAATTCAAGGCTGCCACTAGATTTCTTGCTGGTATCAAATTTGATAACATTCACGTCTTCCTTGTTATTGGCATATTTTCATGAACAAAGAGTATGGCAAAATAATTGATTTTATTCACTTTTTACTTATTAAGTTTTCGCTAAAAGTCTCCTTTTTTTATTTCTAAACTATTTTCACTTGTTAACGAAGTTTTTGCAATAAGTCGATTTTTAAAAAAAAAAATTATGCCTAAACAATTTTTCGTTTTAGGAATTCCACTTCTTGTTTATGTAACGAAAATTGACAGGATGTGCCCGTTGGTTGACAAGGAAATCAGCGATGTATTTTTCAGCAAACCCGTTGAGGAAATTGTAAACAAAATTGCGGATGTAATTGCCATACCAAGAGCACATGTAATTCCGATGAAGAATTATGAAAAGGAAGATTGCTTGAAAACCAACATAAACATATTGGCTTTAAAAGCGTTGCGGAAAACGTTGTCCTTTGCCGACGATTTTCTGGAAAACCAATTTGAACTACTTCAGCAAGAAACCAAACGACTTAATATCAAAGATTGAATTATTCTCCAATTAACAAGCATTGCAGATGTAAATTTGTCGTTTACCCTATCTACGTATTAGATATGAAATAATATATCCATAGAATTATTGTTTATGCAAATTTGTTGAAAGAACATGAACACCGTACCACTGAAAAACCACGTGTTTGTAAGTTCAAATTTTTGAGGTCTGAGGAAAAAATTGGTTTGTGGGAACTTGATTTTGTGGTTGGAGAATATTTAGAAATGCATATGAGTTTTTTGATTTCGTGGTGGTCATAAATTTATGGGTCTCTTCATAGCTCGAAAACAACGAAAACTAAAATTAATGATTTCACGGTATCTTCAAAACAAACTAATAACCTTTGTCATTCTTAGAACAGCATTAGGAGAAAAAAATGTATCATAGGAATTTAACAAGATTTGACCCATATGGGTGTATATGGTGCAGGAAACCATAAGCGAATGTATATTTTCCTAGCTGTAAAACAAAATTTCTTTGCAACTGCACCTCAAAATTTTGATTCTGCAACGCTAATGATAGAAAGTGTTTTCTTGTAGAATATACGAGGGTTGTCCGTTAAGTTCCTGGACAAGCTAAGAATCAAATAAAAGTTGCGTCATTGATATTTATTGTTAGCATATTTCTAATTCTTTACTATATGTGAATTGAAAAATGTAAAATCTTATTCAATCTCAAATGTTTATTTTCAATTATGGCTTCATAATTAGACTTGGAATGGAGACCTGGAGCACCACAAAATTTTAATTACAAAATTATGTATCACTTTATAAATTTCATTTGTATTTTATAAGACTATGTTGAAATCTGGATGACTTTTACATTATGAGGTTGACCGAAGCTATCACGTCAAGCATGCAAAATTTGAACGTTTAAAATTGCAAAATGGCTGAGCAATCAAAGTTAGAACTTATCAAGACAGATCGCAATTGTTCCAAAAGAGGGACGTTTTCAGAATAGGTGGAGCAGTGAGCAGTGATAAAATTCTGCGTAGAGATCGGATAAACACCTACAGGGACCAATACATTTTGTAAACAATCTGAAAAACATAGTAAAAGAAGTCGTAGATTAGTATTTAAGTGGCATATCGTCGCTGTAATATCAAATTGTCGTAAGTCAAAAATCCCAACTTTTCAGGAGAGACAAAAACAATTTTTTTCAAAATGTCGTATGTCTTGTGTGTTCCTTTCTGTCCTGGATGTTTTTTCAGTACAAAGTGTCGTATCTCCAGAAAAGCATTGAAACAAACCCTTGCAGTGTATTGTAAGCGTACGAATCTGATATTAGAACGCTCTAAAATGTATTATATGAATTAACATACTCATAAATTGATTGCAGTTACAAACTGCGAAAACAATTCAGTTTGTCATGAAGTAACCTAACATCTAACTTTTCATCAATCTTTCTATTGATTTCTCTGTTTATTAAATAAATATACTTTGTTTTGTATGTTGAACACATTTTTTAGTAAAAAATATAAAAGATTTAACTAAAATTATAATTTTTCCCTTGATATCAGACGGCCAGTGACATCTTTGTCAGTGCCCAGAGACATACGACCTTTTGTCAGAAAAAAAATGCATCCAATGGACATACGCCCTTTTATCACATGTCTGTATCTCACTTTCTAATTGGCCTAGAGACATGACGTTTTGACAGAACATGTATTCGATATTGCAGATTCCAAAATAGCAATAAAACTTTCGCGCCAAAAATCGACTTACGACATTTTGATATTACAGCGACGATATAATATTTTCGGACGGAAAGAACATTTTAAAGGATGACAAGCGTGTAGGAAAACCATCATTCCGAGATTGCAGTGCTGTAAAATGACTTTCATAACGTGACGACCGATTTCCACAAATAAAATCGTTTTTACGAGAGAGACGTTGGGTGATTACAGGATATGAGACAGGCATTGTTAAATATTATTTTACGTGTGAAACCTGAACATTTTGTACACATATTTATGAGTGGTTAAAGCGACATAAGAAATGTATTGAATTAAACGGTGACTATGTTGAGAAAAGTAACGTGTACTCGTTATGCTTTTGACGTCGGGTAACGTCAAGAATTTTCATTTTAATGCTGAGTGTATGTCTTTTTTAATCTAATAAAAATATAACTATTTGTGCTTTGTTTTTGTTGAAAACTTGTATGCTAATAAAATGAAACATGAATTCAATGAAAATAATAGTTTCATATATTTTATCAATGTTTGTCAGTAATTATCAATGTTGTCCACGAACTTTACGGACAACCCTCGTATACTTGCATGCTTTACTGTATATTGATAATTTTAGACCCTATCTCTTATAATGTGACTGTATATACAGTATAAAAATATCCTGTTTGCTTCCGTATATACAATGTACACCATGCTGATGCCCCCATCAAAAAGGATTTAAGCAGTGTATTATTAAAAAGAAGTTGGAAAAAAAGTTTGCATATGTAGTTGTAATTTAAATAATTGTTGAAATAAAAATGAAAATAAACAAAATGTTATGTAGTTTTGTATTTCACCCTTCCCTTTGTTAACAGATGATTTATAAAAAATAAATATGTTTTTCTTTAAATTCAAAATTTCATGGCATTCAGTAAAGCAATGTACATGTACAGCAATGCAAAGACTTGACTGTTAAATGAAGAAATAACTAAAGAACAATATTTTTTGAAAGTCCATGACCAACGCAACATTTAAGAGTACTTTGTTTTTGTACGCTTTATAAATATTATCCATGATTATTAGAAATATACGAGAACTTACATTCAATTTTTATGATAAACCAAAATACTCATTTAAGATTTGGATCTGGAAATACGACGTTTTACTTTTGACTTTTAAGACTCAAAATTTAATTAATAAAAAGGCGGATTCAAGATTCAATTACTCCTTTTTGCTTAGTTTTAACTAACAACAAATAGCAAAAATATATCTTTTAAAAAATGTATGCTTAAAAGTGAAAGAGGAAAACATAAGAGCAGTCCTAAATCGCCTTTTATTATCAAACTATTGAATTTTTAGTATAATAATCGTGTGATTGAGTACTTAAGGG